CAATATCTAGTTGACAGGGAAAGGTACATCAGGAGTAAAGTTACACGCCACATAAGGTACTCGGCGACCCAGAACAAAACTCTTAATAGTTTCCAGATGAGCCTCTGGAGTTAATCTCAGACAGTAGCAGTCACCTTTTTTTCATCCAACTTCAACCGGACATGGTAATAACTGTTCATATTAGTGTGTGTGTGTGTCTGTGAATGAGAGAGAGGAAGGTCATTAGTTTCTCTGTGTGTGTCTGGTAGCCTATTGTTGTGTGTGTGTGTGTGTGTGCGTGCGTGCGTGTGTGTGTGTTTGTGTGTGCGTGCGTGTTTGTGTGTGCGTGCGTGCGTGTGCGTGCGTGCGTGTGCGTGCATGTGTGTGTGTGTGTGCGTGTGTGTGCGTGTGTGTGCGTGCGCGTGTGTGTGTGTGTGTGTGTGTGTGTGTGTGTGTGTGTGTGTGTGTGTGTGTGTGTGTGTGTGTGTGTGTGTGTGTTGAGAACGGGGCTTGACATTGAGTCAGTATTAAAAGGGAGTCCCGGGGCTTCCAGAGCTAAATTCCCAATTAGAGCCTCATTTACACCTGCTGATATGTGTGTGTTTCTGCATCACTCTTGGCTACAGATGTAAGTAAATGTGAAGACATTAAAAGTGCATTTGTTGATTTTAGGGCATAAAGGCTCGAGTGCTGGAGACGTTTGTCATGCTCTTTCTGCTGGGTCTCCTCATCCTGGGCATCGTATGGGTGGCGTCTGCTCTCATTGACAATGATGCTGCCAGCATGGAGTCACTTTACGGTATCTGCCTTAAACCTTCTGGTCCTCCTACTGCTGTGGATGTATATGATATAATCTGTTATGTACTGATCAGTGGTTTACACTTCTGCTCTTATTCTGTCGTTGAAGATTTATGGGAGTTTTATCTGCCGTACCTCTACTCCTGCATCTCTCTGATGGGTGGCCTCTTGCTGCTCAGTAAGTTCATAAGAAGCCATAACACGATCAAGCTGCACGATTATGGCAATAATCATAGTTGTTGATTATTCCATTAAAATTGTTATAGCAATTAATTACGATTATCACAATGCATATTTGTTGATTGTTGAAATAGCTTTGTACTATTGTTTGAAGCGATTGCCTTCTACAATATTTTATATAATGATAATAATAATAGTAGTAGTAGTAATATTGTGTTTCTTCTTACTGCAAATGTCAATGTTACATTGGTTTTGTTTTTTTTTATAAAAAAAGGAAAAGAAATGCAAAAGGCATTAAACTAAATAATATAATCAAAAACAATACTAGATAATGAATGCACAATTAATTCCACATTGGACACATTAACCTATTTGTTAGATTTAGAGTGAGTTGCTGATGTCGTTGTTCTTGTTGTTGTTGTTGTTATTATTATTATTATTAATATTATATCCTTTATTTTACCAAGAAAGTTGCGCATTGAGATAAAATCTCTTTTACAGTTGTGTCCTGGCAAAGATTATCAGTACACATGGGTTCAACAAAATAACAAATAACATTATTAATCCACCAATACACAAAATTACACATTTTTTTAATTAAAAGCTAGTCAGAACATCTACAAACTATAGATTGTAAACTATAAATGACAAATTTGCAAATTATAAATTGTTTAAAATATATATTTTTAAGTATATTGTAAAACCAACTCTTTAACCTGCAATCTAAATTGCAGGTTATTCCTGCCTTTTTTCCAGTATTTTTTCTATTTTTGTGCAAACCAATGGTAAAGACAATTAATAAATTTAAATTCCTGTGACCAGCTGTAACTAGAGAATTCGTTTTTACAAAAAAGAAAGTGAGCTCAATTCTGAATTTAAATCGTAAAGATTTGTTTCGTAACACACAAAAAAAAATAGTTAATATGATCCATCTTTACACTGAATGTATGTAAAACTTTATTAAAGTTTTAATATAATATATAATAATATAATGTAATGTAATGTAATAATATAATATAATATAATATAATATAATATAATATAATATAATATAATATAATATAATAAGTTTAAAGAGTTGTTATTGACAATTAAAGTTGTGCAGAAATATGACACAAAGTTTTCTTCCTCACTTTAAACAGGAGAACATTCATAATATTGCCTTTTGAAAAGCATAAATGAATGTGCGTTTGTGATTTAAATCTCCCTGTTGTCTTCTCTCACCAGTGTGTACTCCAGTGGGACTGTCACGCATGTTCACAGTGATGGGCCAGTTACTAGTCAAACCCACTGTAAGTACCGTTACACTGTATATTGGGGTTTTGCATTGGGTTGTCATAGGAAATAGCCACCAAGTTGGTTCCCCAAAAACTCCCCTCTGGCTATGATTCTGGTTGTATTCTCGCTGTCACTAGCTATGTTTCCATCCACCTATTTTTATGCGCTCTTTGCATATGCGCATTGAAACCGGTTGATGAAAACGCCATGATGTTCAGAAATTTTGAAAATGCCTATCAAAAACTTTGCGCATATGGATAAACTTTTTATTCAATAAGAAAAAGATAAACGTAAACTATGATGGAAACACTTTTACCGCACAAATTTCAGTATGTGTATTAAAAAAGGTCATGCGATTTTGTGATAAGAGATCATGTGGTGATGGAAATGTGTGTAAATGGACAAACCAGGAGGCTGAGCACATAGTAAAATATCTGAAATGTTGTTTTGGTCATTCTAAAACGCCTTACTGTTTAAGTATTTGTGTTATTATATTATTAATGACCTCCAGAATCAAGAGTGTCTGTGATCCGCGTCACACACCTTCAAACGCCACCGCAAGTTCACTGAGTGTCAGAATTGCCTTCTGAGGCACAAATCATTTATTAGATGAAGAAAAGATTGACGCAGCTTCTCCTACTACAGCAAATTCAGTTTTTACTGTTGATATTTGGCACCAGTTAATCAGGAAGTGATGATTTTGTTCGCTTTGACTCGTTGAATGGAAACGCTGATTTTTTTGTTAGTCTTTTGAGCGATAATCCAGTTTTGCGCATAAAGTTCATTCGCATTTTTGGATGGAAACATAGCTAATGAGTACTGACATATGCTGGTCAAAAGCATCATCAATTGTAGCATTCAAAATGTAACAAAAACTTGCTGATGGAGGATGTTGTGAATGAAGTTTTGTGATCACAGAGATGCGGTGCAGACATCATGTGATTTTAAAAGAGCAAAAAACAGGGCTAAGAGAGAAACTCTACTTTTAGTGTTGCATATCATCTAGACTAAGCAAAGAACAGCAGTCAAAGTCAACAGGTAACTGTTGCTAAGATTAACTTTCTGTAATATCATTATGAATTGACACTTTAAAATACTTATAAATGAGTTATCAAATGCCATGGATTAAAAAGCTGTTCCTAAAACTAAGAATATTCCTGGTTTCTAGGTAGTGAACATGCCAAAAAGTGAGCACTTCTGTCAGTAGTTATCAAAAGCTATGTAAATATTCCTCTGGTGTGAAAACCCCTTGAGAGTGTGTATATTTGCATTTGTTAAAGATACAATCTATCATTCTTTTTGCCTGTGTAGATTTTAGAGGATCTGGATGAGCAGATTTATTGCATACAGCTGCAGGAAGAGGCCTTGGAGCGAAGACTCAATGGTGAGTGTTTGTTTGTTTTTTTGAATGATGACAAATGATGTTTTTTATTTTTTTATTTTTCCAGGTTTACTCACATTTTTTTGTCCTGCATGACGACAGATTATTTGCTTCTAGCATTGATTTTGTTAAAATAAGCAAATATGTGTGTGTGTGTGTGTGTGTGTGTGTGTATATATATATACATATACATGTATGTATGTATATATATATATATATATATATATATATATATATATATATATATATATATATATATATATATATATATATATATATATATACATACACACACATACATATATATATATACATACATACTGCGTAAAAGCTTGCTGGATAAGTTTGCGGTTCATTCCGCTGTGGCGACCCCGGATTAATAAAGGGACTAGGCCGACAAGAAAATTTAATTAAATATATATATATATATAAATACATTAAATTAATTAAATTATATATATATATATGTGTATGTATGTATGTATGTATGTATGTATATGTATGTATATGTGTGTGTGTGTGTGTGTGTGTGTGTGTGTGTATATATATATATATATATATATATATATATATATATATATATATATATATATAGATGTATGTATATACATATGTATGTATTTGTCGGCTATTAATTTTGATTTTATATAGAAACTGCTGCAACAAAATATGGTTCATTGCCTCATATCTCTATCATAAATCACTCCAGGGTTTCCAGTGATCAAAATCAATTAAATAACAAGTAAAATATCAATAAAGTATAATTCAGAGTTCATGCATTTGTCTTCGTTTAGCAGGCTTTTATTCCCCTACACAAACATCCACACAAAGCAGGAAGTGTTTAGGCTTAAAGTCAAACTAGACTTTAGCTTCAACTCAAGCACGCAACAGAGTGTACAGATGCCAGTCAACATGGAACATGTGCTTTTCTATTGAATTCACGGAGGTAAGCTAGATCATCTCTGCAGATAGTACCCAGTTGCCCAAATCCCATGGATGAATTTCAATAGCCTCTCATTTGGTTGTTTGGTTTTGTTGCGTTAGCACCAAAAGCGGATTTTCTTTGAACACCTGATAAAATAATTGTAATCTGTCTTAACGATTTTCGCTTTTTTCTGATTGCTGTTTGATGTGAAGCGCAGTGGCAGTCACAGTCATCGGGTGACAAAAGGCCACTAGGGATGTGGAATGCGATTTTGGCAAAGCTTAAGAACTCTGCGTTATAGGAAGATCTCGCTCAGGCGTTGAATTTACCTTATCAGGAATTTAAGGAATTTTCACTCTTTTCTTCTTGTGTGCCGTAAATGGGAAAACTGGAGGTGAAGTTTGGGGGAAGAGAGTTCAAGAGGAAACTGTCTACTTTGCTTTTCTCTCTTATCTGTGTTCTATCTAATAACAATTGTTCAACTCACTGTAACTTCATTTAGATCCCACAAGTCTGCACATGCTCTCTTGCAGACCTTTGATGTGTGCTAATTGATAATTATGATGTGTGCTAATTCATTCACTCATTTGCATCTTTAATGACCTGAAGTCATTAATATAGATCGTAGTGAGCATTTACAAATCAATAGTGGATCTGTGCTGGGACCTATTCGCACCTGATGACGTCTAGTCACTTGTGATAATTTTCTAGGTTGTCTGTGATTTTTATCTCATGTCAATGGCCTTGCTTGTTGTTTGTAAAGTAATATTTACCCATAATTGACCTACCATATTTTGGCCAACACAGAGGGCCAGTGATATTTATCTCGTACTAATCTGCATTTCTGTGATTTGGTGGGAATGTATATGTAATTGTTTCTTTTTGTCTATTTAGTAATTTTTTTGTGAATTATAAAGGCTGCTTTGAAGAAGTTTGGTAGTGTTGTGGGTGCAGCATCATACCGCTAAAACACTATACAGCTCTACAGTTTGCAGAAAGAAAAAGCCGATTAGCAAAAACAGAAAGAAAGAATAGATGGAGATGTATAGTGTGTAGAGCCACATTTGGAAAGACACATTCTTATGTTTATGATACTTGTTTCTTCATTTATCCATCTAAATGGCCTTGACATTGTACTTTGTTAGAAAGGTCAGTACATTTGAGTAAGGATGGCGGTTTTTGAGTATCACATAATTGTTTTCCCCTTTTGAAATTCAGATGGGGGGCAGAGGAGGGTTTAGGGTTAGTTTAAATTTGTAAATCTCACAAGCTAAAACTTCATTAAACTTAAGTTAAATTTCTAAATCACACACGGTTCCCAGTTAATATTAATTCTGTGCTAATAGTGCTTTAAGGAGTGTTTGTCTGAGTGTAGGGTTTCATACTAGTCTGGGTGCAGGCATTTGTTTGTCCTCTGTCTTGGCTCTTGCTATGCTTTTCTCTGTTGCCCAGATGCGCAGTGGCAGGGTGACCTTGCAAAAACTCTCCTCGGTACCGGATGGCTCTCTGCTTTGCATAATTACCACTGACGTAATGCAGAATCGGCTGAAGTTTCTTTAGAAAACAATGACATCATCTCCTTTCCTTCTGCCAGCACTCCTGCCACTGAGCATCGCCTTTATCACCTTAATTGAAGGACCGAATGCAAGAATTTATTTAAGTGTTTCCTAATCATCTCGAAATCCAGACAGTGGCAGTTCTGAAAATACTGGCTGGTGCTGATTTTTACTAGCTATTGGAATTATTAGTCTAATTTTTTTCCTCACCCAAGTCATGTAAAAGAATTTGGAAATCCCAAACATTTGTTATCAGAAATGAGGCTTTTACTATATATATATATATATATATATATATATATATATATATATATATATATATATATATATATATATATATATATGAAAAGTTCAGATTCAAAAGCCGCTAAACGCCTCTTCCTCCAAAAATGAGATACTGACATTAAGTGAATGCTTTAGGGATGTAGTACATGTTCAACAAATATTTTTGCTTCAAAAAATCTAAATCGCAGCGTCAGCGCATTCAGAAATAACAACTGGTTTGCAAAAGCCTATAAAAAATCTATAAAATAAAACTTCTGAACCTAATCTTTCTCTCTCTCTCTCTCTCTCTCTCTCTCTCTATCTCTCTCTCTCTCTATATATATATATATATATATATATATATATATATTTATACATATACACACACATATACATATTCATTCATTTACATTTTTATATGAGCCGTTTTCATGATTCTGACCAATATGCTGATAATTTGATTTATTTCTATTAAAAACTTATTTGTTTAGATTAATGCAATTCATTGTTTTATTACTGTCATTTACAATACCAAAGAATACAATATTTGAGAAAATTTGCAAAGGCACAAAAAACTGTTGTCTCTCGATCAATACATGCCATTCATCCAAGTTTAAGAGTGTATCAAAAAATGTAGAGCGCTGGCTTGATTCACATCAGTTGTTGATATAGGATTTTGAGATAATGATCGTTTTGCTTTCAAAAATGAATGTGAACTTGCATTTGGTTGTTTAGGATAGGTTCAAGTGGGTTTAATATCCTTATTACCTAATAAGGGTAATAATAGTAGAAGTATGCTTCCACAATCTCAGTTCTGCAAAGGTCTACTGTACGTACATTATGTGTGATGTAACCTATATGTCTGCACACACTGTCCATGTGCAGTCATGTTTTTCACACATGTCTAAAGAGAATCCACTCACTGGTACTATGCATGTATTAAACTTGGCCATCCAAGAGAAGCTTACCTGTCCAAAAGTGATCTGGGAATTCTGGCAGGTGTCACAAAAGACGAGTGTAAAATATGACATTTTGATTGCACATTAAAAGGTTAAAAAGTTAAATGTATAAATGAATCATTTTCTATAAAATCTTTGACATGAATTTAGGAATTTTCATTACCTAAAACTCAAAAACAGTGGTATACATAATGAAGGAGTGCAAGGTTGTATCACAAAACATGTCTGACAAGAAAAAGACATTCATCCAGATGTCTTACTGTTGTTCTCTCTCTCTCTCTCTCTCTCACTTTTCACTCACCTCATGTTAGGCCTTCAGGGCAGCCTCGAGCCATGTTTGACAGAACAATCCAGTCCTGATCAGCTAATAGTGACATTTCCTATCTCATTGTTCTCACAATTTTGGTTGGAGGGTACAGATTTTCCCTAAAAATCACTAGTATGGACAAGTACTTGTTCAGAAACACACCTGCTGTGTTTTTTTCTTCTTTTAATAGATTTCTTTATGAACCTGAACCTCTACCAGACAGGGCGTGGTACAATCATCATAATAATAATCACGTTTTGATCAAAGTGATTGACTCCTCAGCCTCATGTCGGTGAAAAGATGAAAGATTGTGTTTTTATTGCACGCCAGTAACGGTGTAACACTGAACTAATTGCTGCTGATCTGCCAGTGTGTGTCCCTCGAGGCTGTGCAAACCAATCCTCTGCTTTGAGGAGCAAACAAACCACTGAAACGGGTGAAAAAAACACCCGAATGAAACAGATAAATAAGAGCTAAATGAGACAGAAGTCTGTGGTTTTCCTGGAGAACCCCTCTCTGGTTTTGCCCTCTCGCTCTCACCTCCTGACACACACACACACACACACACAGACAGTGTTCTGAAGAAACCTCAGTCCCCTCTTCCGTCAGAACCAGTTTCAGCATGTTCATGTCTGGCCTATGCTCTGCAGTTAAGGTGATGATACACGGGGCGACTTTTAGGGAAATGTTGCCATCAATGGGCAAACGAGTGAAACACAGTGCAACTATTTAGCACAACAAAAATGTATTGTTACATCTGCTCCCTGCAGCTTTCTCCGAGCCCTGATTATAAAGTTATGAATGGACAAAACAAATACAGTGAATCTTTGGGCCTATGCAAATTAATACATGAAAGCTAATTTGTTTACTGTATGTTTAAATTGGAAATGTGAGCATTAAATCACATAACCCATTGTGTTGATGTAACAACCTTCCAGAATATTAAGCTATCAGTTTACTGCTTTTCCTCATTACGCTGCTGCTGATCAATCACCATCTTATTTGAATTTTTCTGTCAGCTCTGTGCCAGTCATGTGATTCGCTGTTTAAAATCAAATTCAGAATCAAACAAATTTGCAGACGACAAAACTAAAAGATCCAGGCACAGTTTTGCTGCCCATTTTCAACTGGGAAAGTAATTTGCTCTAAATGTTATGCTGTGTATCATCACCTTGTATGCAACCACCGATGTTGTGGGTAACATGGTATCCTAAACCATTGTATGCGCAAACCCAAATAAAAAAATAACATTTCTCTACTTGATGGTGTGAAAAACACAGGAGGTTGACACATGTATTGTATACTTGAAACTTATTAGAATTTTTTGAAAATAGTATAGTGTGCACGACTCCTCTTCAGAAGTTATAAGTCAATCAATGTTAAGTTTTTTTGTATGCTTTTATGATAGATTTGAGAGTATCTTTTAACGTATTCACATATTCATAACCTTGCATACATGAAAAATTTTCATACAATCTATTAAAATAAATGGATACTTTGTAATTCTGATCAAAAAAGGTTAAAATATGCAAGTTTTGAATATGTTTTTCTAATATGCTGATCACAAAGCCTCTAAAAGGCTTTTTTCCCTCTTATTGTGATACAAGCTCTCAGTTTTGTAAGTCTAAACAAAATGAAAACAGAATAAAGAGCTTGTCACACTGTTCTTTATTGCAGGTTATCAATACTCGGAACTAGAAGAAAAATATCTAATTGCAATTTTTGTTGACATATTGCAACCACACATGATTTGATTTGTGATCTAATTTTGTAGTCAGGCATGAGCTCAATATTCTGTATCGTAGCTCTTACTGCCAAAATGCAGTGAGTGTTAGTTAAAAAAAAAGGAACTGAAAAGATATTAACTCACTTTAACATTCATTCGAATTTATTTTTAAATATTCAGAAATTAAATACAAATTTTCCTTTACCGCAAACAGTAAACACAAATAAAATGACCTTACTTTTCTGTAAACCAGTTGAACTCAAATTAGGGAGATAGTGTAGCTTATTATAAAAACTAAAAACACAATGATAATAAAAATACAGAACACTGCAAACTAACATGGCTGAAACAACTCTGAAATTGTTCTTTGCAGTTGCTTGCTACTAGATCGAGTGTCACTGGCAATTCTTTCAGTTGACTTTTTAGCAAGACACTCATCACTCAATTGTGCTCACTCATTTGGCTAGTTAGACTATCACACACAGGTAGCAGTCAGGCATTTGCTCTGGATAGGAGAAATTAAATGATACAAATATATTTCATATTGCAGCCATTTGCAATAAGCTAATTGCAATGTTTCAAATCGCGATTCGATTTTGATTAATCGCAGAGCCCTATTCGGAACCATGTGTTTTTGTTAAAGGAATGTTTCACTCTTATTATCTTCAAGCAAGGTTAGCACCTTTTTCACCTGGGGTTATGAAGCCCTGACCCCTGTGGTGCTGAATCTGTGCAGTTTGAAACCATGTAGTTTATTAAGTATGTTACAGTGGCCATGGATTATTTAACAATATACAAGAATGTAAAATGCTAAAGTGTTTTTTAAAACTCATAGGACCGATCACACGCTGCATTCATTCAATAAACATTAACATCTTTTAAATAATAATCTTTGTATGGTATGAAGCAAGATAACCCAGGATTCCTTTCACTGTTTTTGAATGACCATAAAGGTTTATGCAAAATTGAGTGCGAAAAATCTTTTGTTTCCGCATTAGATGTTCAATTTATTTATATAGCACATTTCCAAATGGCCACAAGGCTGCACAAAGTGCTTTACAGAGAAGATGCATTACAGAAATAATAAACAAAATCGCAACAATGTAATGTGAAAGTGTGCATAGGAAATGCAAAATAAATTACACAGGAACAGTTTGGTTTCAATGGCTTACAATAAAAAAGTAATAACCATTTAAGTAATGGTTATTAGAACCCCAAGAAAGGACTTATGCTTCAAATGACCTGTTGTTGTGACCTGAGATGTGTTAATATTACTGTTCTTCAGGTATGATAATATATAGTTGAGCCATCAGAATAAAGTGAAATTATTGAATATCTTTTATATGTTTTAGCACCATTTAGCTCCATCTTGTTGCAACAGCTTTGCTATTACAGAAATCAAACCAAGTTTTTTTTTTTATCACAAACCGTTTCTGACAGTGATTAAAATATGGCTCTCTAAATGACCCAATTACATCAGATAATTTAGTTTCCATTAAAAGATAATGATTTAATGTCATTTTTAATGCAGCTGTTTATTTTGCAGAGCATTGTTTTGCAGTGTTGTTAACCACACTTGAGATTGCAGTTGTGTGTCACTCAAGAGATTTTCATAATTACTTGCATCTGTTGAAAGTGACATGATTAGCAATGCAGATAATGAACGCTTAAACACAAACTCTCCAGTATACAGTATGGCTAAACTATAGAGACAAACCTGCAGGGTACTGAGCTCATTCTCACTTCTCAGGCATTGAACCGCTACCTCCATAATGTAGCAGCTTCTAGTTAAAGAATCTGTTTTTCTTCTTGACAGACTCTATGACAAATGATGTGATATATTAAGTAGGCACTTAAGTATAGGGTAAAGATAACAGCGATCAAACCACTGATTTATGTTCACATCACTAATGTTTCCTAGTGGTTTGATCTCTTTAACTGAAGCTCTTAAATAGCCAAAGTAAACAGAATGAAAGTCTCTTTGTTTCAAAGCTTGGATTTTCTTGTCTTTGTCACTCAGGTACGACGTCAAACTCCTATCTCCATGGAAACTCTCAGCACCATCTCCACAAAGAGCTGGACAGCGTTCGCAATCAGAGACACAAACTCGGTGAGAGATGTTTTGAACAACTAATGAAACTAATTAAAGTGCAATTCACTCGCTTTCAAAGATGTGTAGGCTGCAGTATCCACTCCTCGTAATATTGTCGAATTGCAAAGTGTGTGCATATTTGAATGCGAACAGTCATTTGGAGCGAGGCCAGATGGGGTATGGCTGTATCATTTTCGACGTCAGCCTGTGTTTTGGGGTTTTATAAATGATTCCGGAGAGAGGAGCAGTTGGACGGAGAGGAGGCCACAAAGGCACTTAGGATATTGGAGTGTGATGCAAACTTTATTGTGGCTGTCTCTCCAAGTGCGGTCATTAATTTAGAGGCAGCATGGTGCATATGCAGGGAACTCTGCCAACCTCAGAGCCAGAGCGAGAGATGTTGAGAAGGAGAGAGTAGAGGACAGAGCGGTACAGGAGTGACGGACACTGGGATCCAGAAAAGATGCTCAAGAAGACCCACTTTAGAGCAGAGCAGGGGAAAACCTAATGTTTGAGCTTTATCATTGCTGTTTTGAACTCTATGGGATATAAATGCCCTTAAATAAATGTAGATTTACTTCAGTTAACATACACTGTAAAAAAATAAATGGCAAAAGGTAGGGCTGGGCTATTTGCCCTAAATTCAAAATCTCGTTTAATTGAACATTTGAACTCAATAACGATTAACAAACGATTATTTAATTTATTTATTATATTTTTTTGCCTTCATAGTTCACTGACAAGTTTTTTTTACAGTAAATATGCTCATTTTTTAATGAAGGGTGCAGTACTTGATTTTGAAATTACTGGAGTAAACACAAACTCTACTATCAATCTACTATCTATAATTATTAGTTGAAACCAACACTGAACAACTGAATTTAAAAAACGCACTGTCTAAAATGTGGCTCTCTGAATTGCCCACCATCTTCACTGCTACCAAACTGACCAGTCATTTTGCATCAATGCAATCTTTTTTTTTTGCAATGTTTTGCAATCATATTTTTTGAGAGGTGTGCGGGCATATGAAGGCTGTGCCCTTGTCAGAAGAATATCATAATAATATAATAAGTATAAATTATAATGTAATAAGTAAAATTCAGGCTTTACAGAGCGGGGGACGTGACTCCACACATGGTAGGCAAAGTAATTGAAGTAATAGATCTGTAAAAATGAAATTGATTCTACATTCTGAATATCAATTTTAATTACTATCAACTAAATTTTTGCTATACAATGTTTAATATAATATTTTTAGTCAGTTTGACTGATTTAAGTTGAGATGACTAGAAAAGGCAGGAAGATTTTATTTTTTTTAGCATTAACTGACAGCAGCTCTTTTTATGCACTAATGCAATGCAAGACAATAGTTTCAGATTTGTAAGGTTATTTTTAAATGCTTTTACAATAAGTGTTTTATGCTCGGAAATTATTTCTTATAAGACTAAAATGATCAAATCAGAAATTCCATAAAAAAAATAAGTCAAATTTTCAAACATTGGAAGAATGTAAAATAACTTTTTAAATATATTTCACAATGTGATTTCTTCCTAATATGCCTTTATTTCTAATTTACTGATTTACTGCTTAAAGGGGACCTATTATGCCTCTTTTTACAAGATAAAAGTTCAAATAAGTCTCTGATGTCCCTAGAGTGTGTATATGAAATTTCAGCTTAAAATACCTCACAAATAATGTTTCATAACTTTTTGAAACTGCCCTTTTTGGGCTTTGATCCAAATTGTGCAGTTTTGGTGTCTGTTAAGTTGAATTTAAATGAGATTGTGCTCTCAGCCCTCTTTTCAAAAGAGGGTGGAGCTTCAAACGCCTATCCATCAGCATAGTGGCAGATTTAAAACCAGATTAACGTTATCTTTTATGCAAAGCTGAAAATGTCAAAAGAAGTGGCAGTCTTGGAGACTCTGGTGGTTCATTTGTTCATCCTAAAACTCCACATTTATAATGTCTCTTAGTCGCTGAGATTATCTTCGGCAGGTGAAAACTCAGGTTCTTCAATTCTCACCCAGGGTTGTCTATGCTAATGAGGGAGAGATTGTTGACATGATGTCATGTACAAAGGATGTCTATGATGGGTCTTAAAAAGTCCTAAAATGTCTTAAATTAAAAAAAAAAAAAAATTAAGGACATTAAAAATTCACAAAAATATTGTGTTGTAGGTAAATCATTTTAAACAGGTCTTCATTTTTACTTTGTCTGAGTAAAGCTACTTAGTTGGGCCGACATCCATCCAATGACCAACAATACATCTCAGTAAAACCTTACCATTTATATTTAAGTTTTTTATTGAAAAGAGGTACAATTTACAACAGCTGTTAGACATTTTACAGCAAACTCTCCATTAAATTCCCAAATCAAAAAAGGAAAACTAATAACAATTACACGATTCCTGATGATAATACAGGGCACTAACAAAACATCCTTAGCGTTTAACCCTGTATAAGTCTGAAATTGAATTCGTAATGGTCTTAAAATGTCTTTAATTTGACTTGATAAAACCTGCAGAAACTCTGTTAATGTAACTTTGTGTATTCAGTTTATTATATGCAGTAAATTAGTTTTATATATTATGAACACATCTCAACTATGAACTGTATTAATATTGATAAACTTTCTATCTAAATGGATATGTTCTATCGTACATTGATACTTTCTATCTGAATTGATATGTTTTATCAATTTGTAGGCCTGTCACAATAATCAATATATCAACTTATCGCACAACTCTTGGACATGACCTCAATCTTTGTTGTTGCCTTAATATATATCGCCATACATTAAAACCAATTCTAGCAACATTTTAGCTAATTGTGCAACATCTCTGTCCCTATTGGTGTCAGTATGGTTAAAAACATTGTTTTCTTAAAATTACCAGTATATTTTCATGTTGGTGCCTGACAACTGAAAATAGATCTGGTAGCTATTATTGCAGCCTCTGTAACTTTGTACCCTGGACTTTTTTGTTAACATTTATTATTATTTATTTAGGATATGCCTTTTTTACATTCTGATTCCAATGTTTAATTATTAAATAGTTCAAATGACTATAATTAAATTAAATTAATTTTTATCAAGAATAAAATATTATGTGTTCTTTGGAAAAGTGTCCTTGCATTTTGATAATATTCTGGCAATATATATATATATATATATATATATATATATATATATATATATATATATATATATATATATATATATATATGTGTGTGTGTGTGTGTGTGTGTGTGTGTGTGTGTGTGTGTGTGTGTGTGTGTGTGTGTATATGTATATGTATATAATGAGTGGCATAAAATGGTCCTAAAATTACATTTATATTGGTTATTACAATATATTTTACAACAACAAAAAAAAAGATCGTGATCAAAAATTGTGACAGGCCTACTAATTTGTGATGCTAATATGAGACAAATAATGTTAACAAATTGATACTTAGTATAAAGTGATACACTTACATAAACAGTAACATACTTTATAGCTTTGCTGATTGAAAGATGTTTTGAAAATGTTCCTGTTTTAAACATATTTTTCACCATATTATAGAGACTGCTTATTTAAGCATTTAATTGTTTGTTTTTCTGAGACACTGTGAGAACTTGACTAATTATAGGGTTTAGGTATAATTACCTCAAAGTTAAATGCATGTACAGTCAGTCTACAATACGTACACTTGAACTGTTTCTCTCCCCTTCCATCCTAGAAAGGAGAAAGAAGGCCTCAGCCTGGGAAAAGAACCTCCTTTACCCCATAGTGATGCTGATCCTGCTTGCTGGAACAGTATGTGTTTATTTACACTTTGCAGGGTTGAAAAAAAAGAAACACAAAGTGTAATATGATGCTGTTTATTTCATAAGTTGGTTTGCTGTTTCTCTGTAGTGTTGTTAATGCTCATGCTTGTTTCATCTGTGCTGTGTTTTCAGACGATTTCTGTTCTCCTGGTTGCCCTGAACATTGTGTACCTGCTTGTTGATGAGACAGCCATGCCAAAGGGTTCAACGGTAAGAAAAGTGAAAGGTGACAAACTTGTAAATGTAAACAAACACACACTCAGCTTTTGAGGATTTTTCCCTTCTTTCACTTGCGTCCTGCTAAAATCATGCTTTGCGTCAGGGCAAATTGAATTCCAGATATGCTCAGGTGTGTGCTGGAGAAGAAAGCTGAAGATGTGTATCATGTTGCGGTTGTTTGATGCTCTTTATCAGAGTTGTACTCACGTCTGCTTTACCTGATGCTGTTTCAAAGGCGCTCATGCACTAAATGTGTGTGAAACTCTGGACACGGAGCTCATTTGTCTTAACTGGGAGTTCTTGGCTGAGGTCCTTTGAGTCAAACAGCTGTAATGAAACCACCATTTAACCTTCATGCAGTTTTTTCTGCACTGAAGACAGTGTGAGTTTTCTTTTTTGACAAGGTAATTACAAGCTACGGATGGTGAAATCTGAATTTCTCACTAAACTTAAACTCTTTTAGCAGATTCAACATTAACAGTTACATCTTTCCTGTTTTCTTAAACATAAAAATGTTCTTGCTTTCTTTCCTTCCATACAATGATGGTCTTTTCTCACCTTACTTCACCACTCCCACCTGCTGTTTCAGCTTCATACCTTTTTCTTACCACAACAAAGGGAACACCACATATCCTTTTTTTCTGGCCAGGGTTTGATAGTCCTGAGCTGCTCTGTGCGAGTGCTCGCTCCTCATTCTAATTATTTTATTAGTGCCGATATTTGCCTTGGCATGACGCTTGACTGAAAATCCCCCAAATTACACTTGTCACAGTGTTCAGAGACGAAGGGCCCTCTTGACAGACTGGTTAATGGTTTATGCGTTTGATGAGCTGGACTGGTGCCATGCTTAAGATCTCATGTACCAACGACAACCCAGAAGCGGTGTCTGTATGTCTGTTTGAAGAGTTTCACATTAGCAGGGATGAAGGGATCTGAATTTCACAACAGAGATTGATGCGAGTTAAGGTAACTAGGTTAACGTCGAGACCGTCAGATGAGGCAGTGTGTCGTAAAAGTGGCTATGAGGTAAGGACATCTAATGCAGTGGCACTGCTTGCATTAAGCTGTCTGATGCACTGTTGCTAATGACTGCAATAAAAGTCTTATTGCTGTCACTCCCCATGGATTCAGAATTATTGTCGATGCTAAAAACAGCCTCATTAATGTCCGTTTCTCATCCGTACCTCACTTGGCATATGGAGCAGAAGGAGTGATGGAACGAGAAATGAGATGAGAGGGAAAGCTCAAGGGGTCATATTTCTCTTTTTGACCTCTGAACCTTTGATAAGAGTCAACTGATGAAATTTAGCCCCTAACCTGTCAGTAAACAGCTTTATGAAATAAAAGGCCTTCCTAATTTATTCAATTTTGTTGCTTTTTTCTTTTAAAATCCTTTATCAGTGGTAGCTAAGGCAAATCAAAACATTTAATGTAAGTAAGACATACCTTAATAGTCCTATAAAATTAAAATAAAGTTTTTTTATAGGTTAGTATCCAGGGTTCAATGCTAAGGACATTTTCAGTTCAGTTCAGATTTTTACTTGCCCTGCCAAAATTTTCACTGGCCCCACCAAAATAAATAAATAAATAAAAAAATAGCTATTTTTAGCCACATATTTTAAACAATGTGTAAAAAATAATGTCTTTGAATCTAGAATTTAAATATTTTTAAAATGTTCAAATATTTAGCAGTAAAATACAGCAGTATGGAAAATATGCAGGTATTTTATTGCTAAACAAAAGGTGGCTGACTTAAAAGTCATGGAAAACTATCCAAAACATCACTTAACTTTTTTCGTTGTGTTGTACCCATGTAAATATCTTTTTCCACAATGTTTTAAACAGACGTTTTCTTTTAGCCTAATAATTTGATGTTGCCGTCTCTTCACTGTTCTAGTTTTTACCAGGTTGTGAAAAAAAATAACATGCTCACAACAACCAATCAGATAAAAGGAACCAAAAAGCAATATGGTGTTTACGACTTCACAGAAAACACAGCATTCTGAGACTTAAAAGCACAAATTGTTTCATGATTCTAAGACTGTATTTGCACACAATTGACAAAAAGTAGCAGGCAAATTAAAATTTGATGACAAGGCAGCACTGGCCTGATCGGTCCAGTAACGATTCTCTCTACTGTCTCGAACATCTCTCATGCTGGCCCCGGGCCATCGGGCAGTCCTTATTGTTGAGCCCAGTGATATCTATAGACAAGTGTGCTGAAAAAAAAAAACAACAGAAAAAAATGCATTTAGAACACATAAACTAGATTTAAACATCCAAATCTTGTCACTTCTGCCTAAATGGATCAATCTTTTTTTTTTTAGCTCATACTTCAGTGTTTCATCAAATGTTGACCAATATCTGAAATATCCCGCCCCTTTTAAGATGCTTTTCATTTGATGCACTTGAGCTCAACCACTCTCATTGGCAGAGCTGTGAGAAAATGAAAAGCTATTGGCTGGAGGAGCTATTCTGTCCCACCTTCTCTTCATGTTTCAGTTGAGATTATGTCAAACATCAAATAAAAAATGCACATTTCAAAGCACTTCACTGGAAATTTAAGAAATGTACATGCACAAATATCCTTAAAATCAGTCAGTAACTCATGAAGATTAATGGTGGCATGGAAGGCACTGATTCATTATGTTTGAGTTGTTCTTTGCTATCTACATAGAATATTTATGGCTTAGGCAAGTGTAAAGTTTCTTCAGAAACCGCAACAAATGTCAGCATTAGGAGTTACCCCTAAAATGAAAAATGTTCTGGTTTTACCTTATTTAGACTGGTCATGAATATTATTAAGCTCTGCTCTGATGTTCCTGCTGCTCAGTTCAGTTATTGTAATTCGCACAGTGTGATGTACTCTGAAATACACAGGTGAAAAGTAATCTTACTTTAGAAAACATTTGAACTGTTGAGTAGATGCCTTGTCAAATGATAATCATTTCAACTGAAGTGGTGGAGAAAGTAAGCCCAATTATCTTTATGCTCCTGAGTTATGTGTTGTATGTGAAATAAAGGCTAAATTATAATTCTACACGATAAAAGAGACTGACATTAGCCATCTGGTTCTCTTTGCTTTACCTTTCCATTTTGTGCTGAATCCGGGTCAGTCTGCACAGATAGGGTTTTATTTTTTGTGGTGTTGAGGATAACAGGATGTAACAAAACCGTGTCAGTCACTGTCTTCATAATGCAAATATAATGTTAACACTTATCTGAACGATTATCAGATATTTCTGTTTTGGAGAAATTTGAGATATTTTTCCTGATATTTAAGTCGTTAAATAGCTATAAACTGGCTGCCAGGCCACACATTAGCAACGTCACACATACACGCACTCTACCAGCATGGTTTAGCATGGTTTGTCAAATTGTGTAAATTCAGGCTAATGTGTAAATACAACTGGAACCGCATCATTTTCCATAGGAAATATATATTAAGCTGTGTTTTACTTAAAACATTTTTATCATTGTTTGTTTCACACTTTTTCAAACACTACTGAAGGCATGTATATTAATAATCCCAAATGTCGGTGTTCTATTCTAATTTGCATATTATTCTGTGGTCTTTTGCTCAGGCAAAATTAATATGAGGAGGAAACAATGGTGTTTGAGACTTACAATATGTCATTTTTGTGTACTTTACACTTAGTTTTAACTATGCCTAAATTTACATTCTATAGCACCTTTTTGGGCGATCACACTGAACACATTTTTTTGCTGTGAGACGTGCCCTTTTTTGAATGATTTCCTAATGACTGTGAGCGTTTTGCGCTCTGTTTACGTGCTGCTGCGCCCCGCGTTTTTGTCATTGCGTGCTCTCAGTTGAAAAAAGTAAACTGTGAGCGGAAAAATCTCATTATGTCAGTCGCGTCTGTTTCAACCTCCAATCAAGTGAAAACAGATTGAGGTGCCTGCAGTGTTTGTGTTGTCAAGACAACTACAAAGATGGAGGAGAGAGTCGTAGTTGTGGTTGCTGTTTTGAGTTATCCAGTGCTGAATGACTTCCCAAATACTGAATTTCACAATATTATTAAATATTAAAATTATGACAAAATCAACAGCAACACTTTCACACAATACCTAGCTGATTAAGTCGTTGCCTAGTGACATAAAAAGTTCACCACACTTCTTTTTTTTATCAACAAAATGGCTGTGAGGTGCACCTTGCATTTTCAGAATGGAAAATCGTGTACTGTGTGAAATATATAGCTGAAAGACATTCTGTTGCTGTAAACAAAACTTTAGGAAAATAGTTCAACAGATGCACAAATAAACAATTAATAAAAGTATTAATTTGTTGCGGATTCTGAGAAAACAAAGTGAACGAAAAAGTAATAAGCAAACAACCAGATTGTCTCTAAATATTAATATGCAAAACTATTCACATCAATATTTCTAGAATGAATTTTGTGTGATTGTCCTGGAAGAAAGTATAAAGACGAAGCCGTTGTAAAAATTCATATGCTGAATGCTCGAGTAAACAGTGCATGAGTTCATTTTAAATAGTGTGTAATTTGGGACACTACTACAGATTTGTGCTTTGCTCTGAAACCAGCAGTGCATTTCTTTTCCAGTTTAGACAGACATCTTTGACAGCATTACAGCTCGTCAAGGTAAAACAGTTATTTTGCATGTAATTGCTACATGCAGTGCAAAAATATACACTGTTTAGTCAGTGCGGTTTGATCACATCACCTATTTTGGGTTCAGTTCCTTTTTATTAACTCCAATCTTTCTTTGATGCTTTATTATTAAAAAGTGAGTCTATGATAATATTTTGCAAACAGGTTTTCTGGTTTTCAATCACATGTAAACTTTCTTCAGGCCTGTCATCAATAACAACAAGCAAGAATGACATTATAAAATCTGCTTCAGATTTGATCTAATCCAGTTAGAAAGATCACCATAAATATTTTTACATGCTCTGTTGATTTTGAATTGGTCTACTGTCAAATGCACATCATTAGAATGAGACTGATGATTGATTTTTCTTTCTTTCTTTTTTTTTTATTTTACTTGTCAAGCCCAGACTTAGGTTGTTTTACATTGATAAATTATGTCAAATAAATGTTGGCTTTTATTGTAATAATTCCAATCCAAACCTTTAGATCACATCAATGACTTCAAAAGATATTAAAGGCCTGAGATCGAGAAACTTTGTTTGCCAGCGCATTTGTTTTGGTTTCTATTTTTTTCTTCACATTTTTCTCCTAATTTTTGGCAGCCGTTCATTCTGTGTAGCCTCTTACTGTAAGAGCACCACTGCCTTTTTTCTCTCTTTCTTTTTCTTTTTTGTTTGAACACCTGCTCGCATATTATGCGTGTGTGAGCGGCGGTGAATTTAAAAAGATTTCTTTCATCTGCTTCCATTCATTACTTCGACAATTTCACTCTGTCTGTCCTCGTTGGTGAGAGGGGAAACTTTGCTAATCTGAGCTTTATACGTTTTATTTCTTCATAATAGCGTTCACTCAGAACAGCTCCAAATATTTGTGGTGCTTTTTTTCTGCCCTCACTGCCTGAAGCACTGAGGTGTCAACACTGTAGTCTTATTTAGATTACACAGCTTCAGTTGTAACTAGAGCCTTTGCGTCGGGCATGTAGCTAAAACACGTCCACTACATGCTCTCACTCTGTGTAAGAGTATTGCTTCAGTCCTAAAACACAACTGCTGCTTTTAAGAGACATACATGATCAAATTCTGCATCCAGGTTAATAAAAATAACCACTGACCGTAACTTTTCCTCTTTGTTTCATCAGGAGAGAGACATTGGCAATGCTTCTTTATCCACATTTGGAGTTGCCCAGGCGGTTGTTGAAATCATCCTCATGTTGTATCCTTTTCTCTCTGTGATTCTCTAATGCTGCATAAGCTCCAGTTTTGTGTTTGATCACAGATTGTGTGTGTTCAGTAAAGCAAATCAAACTTGTTTGCACAACGATTGTTGTGAGTGTGCTTGAGAGTGCTAGTCGACAGTGTTAGTCTTAACTCTGGAACAGTTATCTGCTTGTCTCCTCTGTGGTTGGTTTCTACAGTCTTCGTATCTTTCAGGAACTCACTCCCAGAAAGGACGACACCAACATGACAACGGTAGGATCTGCAACGCTCCTTCAGTCCTAACACTTGAACTACTAAAACTATCATTATTAGAATAGCCATGGTGGTCATTTTGATCGTTCTTAAATAAAATGTCATATTGTCAAGTCATTTTTATATTCAAAGCTTCTATTGAGTTATTAAAATAAGGCTTTGAATTAATGTTTGTTGTCATATTGTATGAACTTATTACCCTAAAAGTGTCTTTTGTTATACAGCTTTTAAATGTGTTTGAGTTACTAGTTGGGATGCTCAAAACGATCGGCCGGAGATCGCTATTGGCGGATAATCACATTTAATGACTTAATCGGTACTCTCTTATCCGGCCGATCTCATGAACCGATTGCAAGCGTTTGTTTATGAGTTTACTAGTACAGGAAGAGGTGACGAGAGTAAGTGAACAAGAGAACAGATTGAGAGAGGCACAGTGGTGTTCTAAGTATTTCATTGGTTAGGTTAACTTCTTATGCATCAATTATGCGCTTCAAACTTTTTTTTGATTGAGACATGTTGAATTCTTCCATCAGTTGCAGAGTCTAAATTGCATTGTTAATCATTTCCTACCATTTTTTAAAGTCTGTTTTATCTATTATTTTCTGTAAAACTTCTGACCATCACATGTTCACACCAAATAGACGTTTTTAAGGGATTATATGCAGCATCTTTAATTTATTCTCTTAGGTAAGGTGAGATCTCCACGCAAGTATTATTCCTGGAGGGAAAATTAGTTTTTTTTTTTTTTTTTTTGCGTTATATAGATTGAAGCATCAGAATCTGTACTTGGTCTACACTGTAGAATCTGTTGATCACCATGACAAGGAATTGGTACTCAGCATCAGCTACAAAAATTCTGATCGAAGCATCTCAAGTTGCTAGACCTCCTATGAAGGTGCGCACCTCACGTTGTCTGGCAAGCAGTAGAGTTTTTTTCATCGCAGTGCATATGTTGTTTTGAAAGAGTCTGCAGTAGTTATGCTTTGGCTACTAAAAAATCGTTTTGCTAGGCAACTTCCAAAAGCAGGGGAAAGTATTGGACACTGAAATGCATGCAGCCAGTTTGACCGCTATGGTAATTCAATACAGATAACTCAAAACTCTTTTGTGAGAGAGGAAATATGATTCTGCTTCTGTCAAAACGATCAATGACTTCTGGCCCTACCCATTTTAGCAAAAGAATTCCAGTTTAAGCCCCGCCCCTTTTAATATGAACTTTATCATTTCCAGTAATTTGTTCCCAGTCGAGTAAATTAAATCCTATATATTGTATAAATCTGGTGATCAGATTAAATCAATTATAATTACGTAATTTAAATCAATTCAATTGGGTATATGCCGAGCTAGTGTTGTTCCCATACTGATAAACTTCCGGTGACCTGTTATTGTGAGTTTTTTTTTTTCCATTTTATACAGTTCCTTTTACAGAATCGATGTTGTAATGTAATAAAAATACAATCAGTTAAATAAACTTTGGCATTCATTTAATTGCTCAAGCGTAAAACAAGACAAAACTTTATATCGGATATCACTCAGCCAGTGGAGATCTCTGATTTTTAAAGAAAACAGACCTTAAACACGACGATTTTGCTATGGCATACAGTCCACCGGAAGCGATTAACCCAGGTTACTGGCAAATTAAAAGTCCTATTAGCATGCTTCGGCATATACCCTATTAATTTATTCCAACTATTATTAGAACCATTATTATATTTTAATTCCTTTGAAATAATTAGATTATTTTTTTGAATAAAGTATTGTCTTTCCCAGTGATGGGTTGCAGCTGGAAGGGCATACGTTGCGTAAAATATATGCTGGACAAGTTGGCGCTTCATTCCGCTGTGGAGACCTCAGATTAATAAAGGGACTAAGCTGAAAATGAATAAATAAAGTATTAATTATATTATATTATATTATATTATATTATATTATATTATATTATATTATATTATATTATATTATATTATATTATATTATATTATAATTAATAAACTATCATTATAAGCATTTATATTCTTTTTGGGTTTTGTAATTTTAATAAAATTACAAAGTTAGAAAGAAATATACACACAATTAGGAAAAGTCAGGGTTTCATAGTTATATGTGTGTTATCTTAAAGTTATTAAATTACAAAATTGAAGTACAGTCAAAATGACTGCCTCAATAGTTCTAGTGTTAAGATCTGTTCATTACAAAGCTATGTGCACACTGTACTATTCTTAATTGTGAGCCCGCACATGTGGGGAACCCACAGAACAGAAAAACAAGTAGCCCAATTCCACAGGAAAACTATTACAACACTGGTTAAAATCTCTGATTTCCTAAGTCTCTTCTTTGCGGCATATTTCCAGATTCTGCATTAGAGCGCCTTCATGTCTTTGAAAGAGATTAACTACTTATCACAGAGCTCTTCTTCGCTGACAAGATGTGCATAACAAATCACAACTTTTAATAAATAACAATTTCGATTTGTCATGCAGACCTACAGTAGTTGATGATGACATCTAGTGATCTGATCTTAAATTGCGCATGTACTGTTTTCATGTACTGAGTAAAATGAAACAGTATTTTAAAATAGTAGATGAGAAGAATCTGGATGACCTACTACTTCTGTCGAAATTGTGAAGTGTGCCTCTAATGGACACTATCCCATGAGGCCATAGGATGTTGCAACACAAATGATGCTTGTAGGTCATGTGAAAATGGCAACTTGGCTATGTACATCTGCATTTTCATTCATGCTACCCATATAAAATTCAAAGGTAGTATCTACTCAGAGTGTGTGATTTTGGTGTGTTTGAAGCAAGTGTGTGTAATTGTTACTGGATTGATACAGCATAATCAGGTTTTGTGCACATTGTTGAATGTGAAGATGCTGGAGGACTGTGCATCAGAAATATCTGACAATCGCAAAAAAATTCATCTGAGGTGAAATTTGATCACAAGGTTGATTAATTGACTGTCAGTGAACGTGTCAAAGTAGAGATCGAAGAGTACAGATTTTGGCCTAGGATCAGAGAAATCGTTTAGGATTTGCAAACGTCTTCTCAGACAGCCAAATTGTGGCAGTGTGCACCTGGCTTAAAATATCACAGGTTAAGTTTAGAATATTCACAAACACTTCATCGTTTCAAAGTTTAATTAATGTATGTCATTCTCCGAACACTGTGACCTGAATACATTTGAACAAAAAAGAAAATGGCGTAATCTCACAATTAAAAAATATAATGATTATTTTCTCAAAAAAAATCTGGATTGTTGTAACCAATTGTTCGGTCAAACATGGACAAACTAAAAGTTGGGTTAATTTAAATTGAAGTTAAATTTAGATGACACTTTTTAATTCAACAGTTGTGTTTGTCCACGTTTCTCCCAACAGAGAGCACAACCAATATTTTTAGAGTGTTTTACAGCGCTCAGCATAATTGAGTACACCCTATTTTGAAAATGAATATTACCCTAGTGAACATAGGCAGAGTATTTTGGAGCATTTAAACAAAACAGATTTATTAAATGAATATATATTTATTAAAATAATATTTTAGTCACCAAACATAAATTACAACCTTCAAAATTTCAACAAAAAAAATTCAACATTCTTTTGTTTCTCTTGATATTTCCTTTTTTGTTTGTATTTAATATTTTTCTATAACATAAATTTGGGTGTACTAGTTTTTGAACTGTTATTGTAAGTTATTTTGTTAGATAGACTTCAGATTTGGCTTCAGTACTGACTAATCTAATATATATGCACAAATATAATATTGTATAGCGTCCTATTATAAATATGAATTTAAAAGAGAGATTTGTTAGGGGTGTACTTATATATGCTGAGCACTGTATATATACTCCATATTATATATACAATATTGGTTTATTCTTCAGTTATAATTAGTATTCTTTAATAATATTTTGCTGTAAATGTGTCTTAGACTTGTTTTTGTTTTATGTCTTGTAGATCATTGGTTGCTGTGTTTCCATACTAGTGCTGAGCTCAGCTCTGCCTGTGATGTCCCGAACACTCGGTAAGGTTCTCCAGACCTGCATGTGTATATAATTCTACTTTTGCATCTATGCATTTCTTAAGCTTTCTATAAACATGCCATTTGATGTTCGTTTCTTTTTGGCTACCACTACTTTTTTATGCATTTTCTAGCTGCTCTGACACACACACTCACCGGTAAACTAATTTCAGCTATTGGGATTTAACAAGTTGCATTCCAGCAGGATTTGCCATAGAGATTTATACAAGAATGGAGTAAGAAAAAAAGACAGACGAGCAGCCATCACAATAGCTGCAATAAACAACATGGCAAGCTACAGACACAGCTGTTCAAATAGCATTGTGTGCGAGTGAGTGAGTACAGTGACTCATTGGGAGCTTCAGAAAAATATCAACATTTCTGCTGAGCTGAATAGATGAAAGGCGAGGTTGCATGTTGTTGTTGTTTTTTTACTTTTTTTTTTTATCAAAGAAATTCAACTTTGTTCACGAAAAGTCTTAAGCAGACCAATTGAAACACATTTACTCTCAAATCCTCTAAACATCCATGTGTCTCCATGAAGTCCTGCAGAAGAGTGAACAGGTTTAACTATACTTGTCAATGATGTTCTTACTATCTCGCCTAAAAAACAGCCAAATGTTGTGTGTAGATGTAAAGGTACAAATCTCATTAACTTGATTTTAAAACGGTGGAACTCTTTGAGATGTCCACATTATATATTGAAGTGTGTGTGTGTGTGTGTGTGTGTGTGTGTGTGTGTGTGTGTGTGTGTGTGTGTGTGTGTGTGTGTGTGTGTGTGTGTGTGTGTGTGTGTGTGTGTGTGTGTGTGTGTGTGTACATAGTCCGCAGGAGCCTGTTAAAAATGTGGGAAAGGCAAACTGACGCGTGACAGTGCTGACTTTTACATAGATAGTTAACTTTTATCTTAACCCTTTGTTTTATATATATATATATATATATATATATATATATATATATATATATATATATATATATATATATATATATATATATATATGCGTTTATAGTTTTTTTATAGAGATCTTTTATCCCGAAGAGGAGTCGGTTACTTATTTTTATTTAATTTATCAAATAAGTACATGGGGGCTCCTGTGGGGAACAACAAAAAATACTTTTGACATTCACTTACCGGCCACTTTATTAGGTACACCTGTCCAACTGCTTGTTAAAGCAAATTTCTAATCGGCTAATTACATGGCAGCAACTCAGTGCATTTTGACATGTAGACATGTAAAAGAAGATCTGCTGCAGTTCAAACTGAGCTTTAGAATGGGGAAGGATGGTAATTTAAGTGACTTTAAGCAAGGCATGGTTGTTTGTGCCAGAAGGGCTGGTCTGGGTATTTGAGAAACTGCTGATCTACTGGGATTTTCACGCACAGCCATCTCTAGGGTTTACAGAGAATTGTCAGAAAAAGAGAAAATATTCAGTGAGCGGCAGTTCTGTGTGCACAAATGCCTTGTTGATGTCAGAGGAGAATGGCCAGACTGGTTTCAGCTGGTAGAAAGGCAACAGTAACTCAAATAACCGAGTTACAACCGAGGTATGCAGAAGAGCATCTCTGAATGCACAACACTTTCATCCTCGAGGCGGATGGGCTACAGCAGCAGATGAGCACTAAGTGCCACTCCTGTCAGCTAAGAACAGGAAACTGAGGCTACAATTTGCACAGGCTCTCCAAAATTGGACAATAGAAGATTGGAGAAACGTTGCCTGCTCTGATGAGTCTCGATTCTGCTTCAACATTTAGATGGTAGGGTCAGAATTTGGCATCAACAACATTAAGGCATGGATCCTTGTGTCAACGGTTCAGGCTGGTGGTTGTGTAATAGTGTTGGGGATATTTGCTTGGCACACTTTGGGCACATTAGTACCAATTGAGCATTGTGTCAACGCCACAGCCTTCCTATTGTTGCTGACCATGTCTATTCCTTTATGACTACAGTTTAACCATCTTTTGATGGCTACTTCCAGTAGGATAAAGGCTGATTTATACTTCTGCTTCAAGCGCACGCGTATGCTACGGCGCAGCCTACGCGTTGACGCATAGCCCTACGCCGTGGCTAATGTAAATGTAACTACACGTAGCTCTAAGATTGGTCGGCTTGGTTGCGCTGACGAGTCTCGGCAGAGCGAGTATCTGACAAGCTCGATAGATCGATTGTTTACAAATGGGGAGTCCCGTGAAGGAGCTCCGGATGGAAATTTTTGTTTTGTGTTTACATCATAGTTAAAGTTGTTGCACGTCCGCCGGCTCCTGCCTTAAAATGAGCGAGTTTGAGCCACTTGTACATTCAGGAAGCGTTCAGAAAAGAAAAAAAAAACACCAGTGAAGAAACTCGACACAGAGGAACATTAACACCTCACTGCCAACTAGCGTTTCAGAAGTGTTAATGCAGAACAACAGAGACAGCGCGCAGAAGTATAAATGCACAGATACGCGGGTTGCATGCGCCATGGGTCACGCCGATTACTTGACGCAGAAGTATAAACCAGGCCTAACGCACCTGTCATAAAGCGCAAATTATCTCAGCACCTTTGGGATGTTGTGGAACGGGAGATTCGCATCATGGATGTGCAGCTGACAAATCTAAAACTGCGTGATGCTATGATGTCAATATGGACCAAAATCTCTGAGGAATATTTCCAGTACATTGTTGAATCTGTGCCATGAAGGATTAATATAGTTTTGGCAAAATGAGCAAACACTATATTGGTAAGGTGTACCTAATAAAGAGCACTTCAAAAATAACTTGGTTCACTTAATACAAATTGTCAAAACAGAGAGCATGGTAAACAGGAAAAAAGCCAAATCAATGAAGAATTTGGATTGTGCTGTAAAAACCATTGGAATTACTGTTTATATCAAGTCTGAATTTCACTGTTGATTAGTTCATTTATTACCCTATATTATAACCATAAATTCAGTACTGTAGAAGCCAATCATTTCCTAATTCTGCTCAAATCTGTGTTGATTTGAAGAAATTCTGTCAATATACACATCATGGCAGATAAATATCCATAGCAGTCGATTATTTAACAGTTGAGAAAGAAATGGTATGTGTATCATTGATTAGCTCTTATGGCAGTACTGAAATTGCTCCTTGTTCTCATTAGCTAGTCGTTAATTCCAGAAAAGCTTAATGTTTGATAAAATCTGATTTCTCATTTTGAAGTTTATTTTCACCTTAGCATTAGACGTTAGATTAAGTCAAGCTTTTCAATATGTCAGCAAGTTATAGATTTAAAGAATAGAAGTCTCTTCTATTGGGCTTTTTCAGTAATCGGTGGACCATTTTTGAAGCTGGTTGGTCAGTCTGAAAACTCAAACTTCCAAAAATAAAAAGTTTAAAGCACGTCAAACTTTGGATACATATGTCTATTTAAAAACATGACCCTTTTTTACCACTTTCAACTCATGCTTTTCTGATGATGCTTTGGATTTTGAATGGGAAAGAGTGAAGTTGTTTTAAGTTCTCCTCAAGAGTCAGCCTGTTGTGCGTTATGTTTTATTTAGAGGTAGTCCAGAAAAAGGTTGAGTTATAATGGTATTTAAAGAAGTGCCCAAAATCAGGACAACGTGAGGAGGAAAAAGAGAATGTAGGCAGATTGTTCTGTCCTGAAGCACAAAGCTAATTTTCCAGCAATTAAATGTTTGTCATTTATAGTTTGAAAAGGCTAAACGATTGTTAAACAATAATTTGTGTTTATTTTGTAAAAGCTTTTGCAATCTTTATGGGGAAACAGATTTGACTATTTATTACAAACATAAATGATTTCTGTAGTACATAAAAAAATTGAAATAATCTTTTTTCAAGAAAGTAAATCACAAAATGTTTTTCTTACACTGAAAAAAAGTGATGACTTTATATAATGTCAATAATCCTGTCACATTTGAAGTGATCAGTTGACTAAAAAAAGTGAGTGAATCCATTGCCTTAAAATGAAGTAAATAAACTATGTGCTTAACTATTAAATTGAGGTAAGTCAACTTAACAGTTGTTATTTACAACAGCTTTACAGTGTAAAAAATGCCGGTTTCCAACTCAAATCGATTAAGTTAACTTGATCATTTTAACAAATGACAAATAACAACAACAAAAAAAAAGTGGATTGAACATAACAGTTTTGCCCAAAAAACCCTAAACAAGTGTGTTGTTTTAACTCATTTACATAAGTTGTTTGAACAAGCAGTGAAAGTTTTTTTTTTAATATGCAAATAATCACACTTTAACATGGTATTTTTGTAGGTTTGCATCCAAATCTGAAGTGAGAGATAGGAGTTGTGTTCATTTATATCTGGTTGAGTTTTCAGTATGTTTAATTTTTGCAACTTGGCAACACAATACTCAAATTTCAGATTTTTATGCTGCATCTCATTTACATGTGCACATGCCATGTATCATTTAGTTGTATTAAACAGCAGTGGCCACTTGTCAGTTTTATTTCAGTAAAAAAAACATTGGGACAATAAACAAACTTCATTCTAATTGAAAAATGGCAGCAGATAAATGTCAGGCTTTGTTATCGCTGATGTGAGAACAAGATACATTATCATTTTGTATAATCTGATGAAGCTGTACTTCTTTAAGTGCCTTTCAGATTCCAATTTTGATCATGCCTTCATCGTGAATCTTGTTCTTTCACTTTTTTCTTTCCAGTCGTACACCTTTACACTTTCTTCACAATCCTTTTTTATTTATAAAAAATAACAGCAAATGTAAAATTGAAAAGCCTTAAAACAAACAAATGAATGGATGTTTTTGATACACATGTCACATAACACATAAATCCATCCACATATTTTTGGGATATTAAATAAACAAAATTCCTAATATTGTTGTATTTATTTATTTGGTAAATGATTAGTTAACTTATTTGCTATTATTGTTTATGGTTTGCTTTTGGACTATAGCCCCTGGCACATTCTTTGTAAAACTTGCCTCTGATTATGTTTCTGGAAGCACATTGTGCATTTATCCTGATAACTTTAAATAACCATGCCAAAAAAAATCCTAGGGGGAAATCAGTATAAAACATGACTATAAAATGAAATAAATTAACATTCAGGAAGCAACATTACCTTTCTCCAAGATTATTATAAGAAAGGGCATATAATATACATAATATATATATACAGTTGAAGTCAGAATTATTAGCCTTCCTTTGAATTTATTTTATTTTGAATGAAATTTTTATTTTTTTATATTTCCCAAATGATGTTTAACAGAGCAAGGAAATTTTCACAGTATGTCTGATAATATTTTTTCTTCTGGAGAAAGTTTTATTTGTTTTATTTTGGCAAGAATAAAAGCAGTTTTACATTTTTTTAAACACCATTTTAAGGTCAAAATTATTAGCCCCTATAGGCTATATTTTTTATAGTCTACAGAACAAACCACTGTTATACAACAACTTGCCTAATTACTCTAACCTGCATAGTTAACCTAATTAACCTAGTTAAGCCTTTAAATGTCACTTTAAGCCGTATCGAAGTGTCTTGAAAAATATTTAGTCAAATATTATTTACTGTCATCATGGCAAAGATAAAATAAATTAGTTATTAGAGATGAGTTATTAAAATTATTATGTTTAGAAATGTGTTAAAGAAATCTGCTCTCCGTTAAACAGAAATTGGGGGAAAATAAACAGGGGAGCTATATACAGTATGTACTCATATATGAACTTTAAGGCAAATGTTTGAAATACCAAGCAAATATTAATCAGATATAAACCCCTAATGATTAACTTAAATATTCCTAAACAAAATTTGAAATTTAAACATTGAACCCTTCTACTTTCTCATCATGCTGTTATTCATATTTCTGCCTGTATCCCCATGGCAACGTGTAGGATTGCTCTCATCCAAATCATTGGAAAAAAAAAAAAAAAAAAATATATATATATATATATATATATATTTTTTTTTTTTTTCAATGATTTGGATGAGAGCAATATATATATATATATATATATATATCGTCAAATTGCACAGTTTTAAATGTATGGTCTGTACTTCTGTGAGGCAGCTTTTTTGTTGAGATGGGAATAGTCATCTTTAAGCTCAAAAACTGACCCTTTTTGTGTGTGCCGTTTTGTATTTTTCAGGAATAACAAGGTTTGATCTCCTGGGTGATTTTGGACGATTTAACTGGCTTGGGAATTTTTACATCGTACTTTCGTACAATCTTCTGTTTGCTGTGGTGACCACATTGTGTCTGGTCCGAAAATTCACATCTGCTGTGCGAGAAGAACTTCTCAAAGCCCTCGGTAATACTCAATTCAATTAGCACTTATTTCTTTCTGCACTGCATGCTCATGCCTTTGTGTGTATTTAACTGATGCAATCCACAGTAGTTAAATCAATGTATACTGATGATGGGGCATATACAGTTGAAGTCAGAATTATTAGCCCCCCTGAATTATTAGCCCCTCTATATATATTTTTTCCACAGTTTCTGTTTAACAGAGAGAAGATTTTTTCAACACATTTCTAAACATAATAGTCTTAATAACTCATTTCTAATAACTGATTTATTGTATCTTTGCCATAATAACAGCACAAAATATTTGACTATTATTCAGCTTAAAGTGCAATTAAAAGGCATAACTAGATTAATTAGGGAAATTAGGGTAATTAGGCAAGTCATTTTATAGCGATGGTTTGTTCTGTAAACAAACTAAAAATATATAGCTTAAGGTAGCTAATATTAACCTTAAAATAGTTTTTAAAAAATTAAAAACTGCATTTATTCTAGATGAAATAAAACAAACAAGAGTTTCTCTAGAAGAAAAAATATTATAGGAAATAATGTGAAAGTTTCCTTCCTCTCTTATACATCATTTGGGAAATATTTGAAGAAGAAAAAAAAGGAGGGCTTATAATTTTGACTTCGACTGTACATTTAAATGCTGTAATTGTGAGGTTTTAAAAGCCAATCTGTAAGCCCAAATGTTTCAAGTTTTTACCTCCTCGCTTTCAGGTCTGGATAAATTGAATCTGTCAACCAGCACGACGGATGCAGAGTCAGGGAAACATGTCGTCAACGGACATCAGAAAACTCTGTGAGGGGAAACGAATCATCCAGATATTCTGAAGCAAACATGTGTATGTGAATACAGTTGGCTTTTTCATTTTGAAATCCAGTCATGAAGCATTAAATATTAAATGGACAATAATTAGAGAAAGAAGTGTTTAGACTCGCTTAGAGTCGCCTGATGTGAATATACCCATCTCCTCATCCAAGCAGTCATATCTCTACTGTATATACCACTGTCCATCATTCATCACTTGACTTTAGTTAGCTTGGAAATACTTTCACATTATGAGGTAAGACAATGTTTTTTCTTACTGACCTGCACACCTAAATGCCTCTAGACTGCACCCTTCAATGGGAACTACTGGTATCATTATTCTTCACAATAAGCATTATCATATATAATTTTCTCTAGTTTGGGAAATATTAAGCTGTTGGCCAAGCTGATCATTTTATGTGCAATGAAGTATGCAGTAGTCTCAATTAGGGCATATAATCTTTCTCCAAAATATTTTTGTTGACATTTTGTGCCCTCTTTAATCAGTATTTACTCGTTATGTGAAACACATTTAGGCCATAAGGGCCTAAAATAATACATAAAAAAAACTGGAGACATCTTTAATAAATGTGATGTCAAAAACCAAACCAAAATTGTAATCTAGAAAAGGGATTTTTTGCAGTGAAACGTGATGTATGTAAACTCAAGTTAAGTTACAAATGTTCAATTGCCAAATTGACCAAATGAGACTCAAAACAAAACATCTTCAAGATAAAATGACCTGTAAATATTTCAAATATTCCGATCCATAGCCATCGAATTTCATGCTTGAATTTCCAAGTGTAAAATACGTTTTATATCTGGAAACTTGTCTGCCATTGAATATGTTTACATTGTTACAATGAAGAGAATTCTTATTTCGAAGTTGGTCAGTTACAAAAACGAGGAAGTATTATGATTTGATTCTCCTCATGCTTTACTGTGACAGTTCAGGTTTGTTGGATGTGACAGAATTAAGTAATGGGACTTGACATGGAAACTCCCCAAACATGTGCCTTACTCACAATATTGGCATATTCTGGGCAGCATTGGGATGTTATTAACCGTAGTGGCGCCTACCTGCCAAATGTCATGGGTAGGCAAGGTTCAAATGCTTAATATGTTATAGTGTTTACTTGAATTGGTTATGGCAGATTGTCATTGTTGTTAATATCACCTCACATGTTTTAAACACATTTAATGGATTGTAGAGTTCTGTAGTGAAATAGTTTAGTAAAGTCCACTTAATATTCGGGAAAAGGTGAGGCACAATCCTGGGATAAGCTTCCTGTTCCTGTTCTTAAATCTGCTGCTACTTCCTCCACAACCTTTTGATACTATGCTACGTGTACTACGCAAACCTGGTTTTTCCCCTCAGTGGGAGAGCAGATAACCAGTAACGTACATCCTTAACCCTTGGTTATTGCTGCAGAGCTTGTTTGCCTTATTTCAGCCTTCAAATATCTAGTCTGTACCTCTAAGGAGATTACTATATCCACAAACATAGATATTTGTATGTTTTCCACTCAAAGTCAGGCTATTGAATTACTGGTGTACGCAGATCAGAGGCTAAATCTGCTTTATGTAGGAACTTGTGTGTCGAGCCACATGGGTTCCAGTTTACACCTATTAAAGCTGAATGTGAAGTCAGCTGTCATTACGCATGTAGAAAGCAGCATGACTCGTTATTAAACGGGTCTCATTCGTCACTAGTAATGTCTCTTTTTACTTTTCATACTTCCAAATATTACATTGTTTAATGTACAATATAGTTTCCAAACATTCCCATCCTGAAGACAACTCCAACACCAAGAAAAAGAAACTTAGAAAACCGTTTAGGTCATTCCTGACATTTCTCTCTCTGAGTTTTAATGTAAAGCTATTTAGGATTCCTCCGTTTGGTCTTTAACTACAGCAAGCCTCATGGTAATGTAAATGATGTATATACAATATATTTGCTCTTTTTATTTTTGTAGGATGTAGATATGAAACAGGCTTTTGAGCCTCGTTCATACTATGTCGTTTTGTCGTCTCTCAGCATTTGTTTATTGTAAAACAACACAAAAACAAACAAAAAAAAAATCACCTGTTGCCTTAAATAGGCTTATTTTGGGGCTTTGTTCTCCTGTTGTCCGCTATTGAGGAGACGAGCTGTGCATGTGATGTGTGAGACGTGCAAATGAGTGAAAGAGTGATTGTTAGTGCGTGTTCCTTTTTATTGACTGATTCACTGTGAATCCCTCGTGTGATTGTCTGTGATATGGCAAACCAAAACGACAGGGCGCATCTTTTAGAATCAACTGGCCAAAGGCAACAGAAAATATCAGGGCACTGATTTGGAATATTAATAGGATTCGCATGAGGGACGCTGAATTAAAAGGTAATTTAAAAATTGACACCTCAGTGGGTTCTGTGGTTCAATCCGATGTGTTATTTGCTGTTTTTATTGTCATGAGTTTAACAAAGTCAAATGTAAAAGAGAAGTTCTTCCTGTTGATTTGCACAGAATATTTTGTATGAGAATGTTTGGGAAATAAGTGTCATGTCAGTCATTTTGTCATTGAAGTAAACTTTTTTGTTTTTAAATGTTGTTTTTTCTGTTTGTGTGTGTATAAGTGTATCGAACTTGTAACGCCAGAAAATTTTGTGTCATTACCTATTTATCAATACTGTCTGTGGACGAAATGAAAAGATGCTAGTGTTTGGCTTTAATCAAATCGGGGTTTTTTTTGTTGTCGTTTTTTTGAGGGATGTTGCAGGGCCAGGCTTCACACCTGGTTCTTCTTTATGCAGCATGGGGACTGGAGTGTCAGTTGGTGTTTTGGGGTTACTCAAAATAGAGGCATTTGCGCTGATGTTCTAGAATTAACTGTGAAAGAAAAAGAAGCCTAGTCATTCCACGTTCTGTTTTCTGCTTCAGGGGTTCATCTCTCTTTGACTTGGTGTGCACGACACCAAGAAGAGCTGTTTTTAGAAGATCTACAGAAATGTACTTTCAGTTCTTCTGTCTGTTTATCGGTGACGAACTAAAGTTGTCTGTCCAGACACCAAAACAGTGTCTGTTCATCCGCTTCTCTTCTTCAGCTCTAAGAGAAAGCTTAATTCTGTGTCCAGTGTGTTGTCTGTTTGATTCTTCTACATGTGTGAATGTACTTTCAGAATGTTCTCTCTTCCATTTGTAGTATACTTGCATATGTTTTGTGAAGAAAAACAGTTCAGATTCTCTTTTGTTTATTTTGTAATTCACTTCAGTTTACAATAAAGTTTGTGACTTTTGACAGATTTCTTTGTGACTGTATCATGTCTTCTTTTCAGAGTCATGCTTTTAAAAAATATTTCAGCTAGTGTTTATTAGTATTTAGGGATGCCACGGTTCTCAATATAATATTGAACCGTACGGTACGACCTCCATAGTACAATACGCGCTTGTGAATTGCGGTTTTCTCGGTTTTGCATTTAAATAATTTACGTGCGTTTCATATCTCCCCGAATTGACTGTGTGTGCCTCTAAATCCATGAGCTGAGGTGAGGAAACTCCTCCCCGCGAGTAAATATCCAATCACTATGCTCTAAAGTTAGGGGGCGCTTGACCATCATTCTTCACTTTAACAGTGGAGTGAAGCGGCGGTGAAGTGAGGCTGAGGCAACAGTACAAGGAAGCGCCGGCGAAGTGAGGCAACAGTACGAGAAAGCACCGGCGTCTTTCAAATCTGCAGTGTGAGGACATTTTTTGGTTTTGCTGGTAAGCATAATGCCAATAAAAGAAAAAACGGTGAACAAAAAATAACTGTGTGTAAGCATTGTATTACATCGTGACTGCACATCTGTCGCACCATCACCCAGCAATATCACTGTCTGAAGTTAATAAGAAGGTAATAAAGTCCTCCAAAAGGCAGTGTGGGTGTTTATTGCTAAAGATTTCCAGCCGTTTTCGGTGATTGGAGATGTGGGCTTTTGTCATTTTATAAAAGCACTCAATCCGCATTTTAGACTACAGTCTCACATTTTTTCAGCAAAGAGATGATTAAGATGGTTTACTTATGTTTACTTAAGTACAAATATGTTTATTTGAAATGGCCAATTAATCTTTATTAAAAGGATTTTATGTGTTCGCCAGTTTGTACATGGGCTACTAGCAGCTGAGATTTCAGTTAATTTTTTTATACAATACACTAGGAACTAGTGTACTTTTCTTGGCTTTTAAGTAAAACAGAGTGAGTATTGAAATAAATCATTGTTATTTTTTTCTCCTTAACCTCTAACTGTTCCTATTGACTATAGAATTTATTAAAAATCACACGTGACTCCATGAGAACCGAACCAAAAACCGTGTTAAAAAAAAAACGAGGTATGTATTGAACCGTGGGCTAACTGTATTGTTGCATCCCTAGTATTTACCCTTTATTTTTCAGACTACAAAAGGTGAAAATGAGTAGATAAACCAGCTTTACATTATTTAAAAAACACAGAAGGCTACCCTGCAACTTGTATTGTATTTTTCAGGTTTTGTGTGTTGGTATGATGGGGCTTGATGGAAAAACTAAGCAAAAAGTAGTGGCAGATTTGCAAACGGCAAACTGTGAAGACACTAGGGAGTGTAATGTTATATGTATTCGCCGCGAACCGCACGGTGGTCATGGTTTAGTTTATGTGCTACATCAGGGGTGTCCACGCACGGTCTTGGAGAGCCAGTGACCTGCAAAGTTTTGTTTCAGCCCCATTCAGACACACTTGGGCTAGCTAATTAAGCTCTTACAAGGCAGTCTAGAAACTTCTTTCCAGGTGTGTTTGAAGCAAGTTGGAGCTAAAATCTGCAGGACACTGGCCCTCCAGGACCGAGTTTGCACACCCCTGTGATCCATAGTCAAATACACACAGGCCAGATGTGCCAATCACTGGAGAAAGACCACAGCAGTGCAACAACTTTAGAAACCATTCACAAGGAATGTGTCTTCGCATCTGACAGCGCAAGTTAAAAAAAACTACTATGTGTATAGAATACACAAGACTAGTCTCTAGTATAGTTTTGAATAGGAAAAAGTTTAACAGTCAATATGGTAAATAAAGCCCCGCCTAGTAGTACAAGATCCAATCATCAGAGGCTACAGACTGACTTTTCTCTGGGCTCAGACCAGACATGTGCTTTTAAGAAAGTTTAGTGGTCAACAAACGCACTGGAATCTCAGCGAATACTTGCTTCACAGACATGAGAAATATGTTCAGATAAAGTTTGAAATCTGTGCTTTTAAATGAACCAAGTGCACTTGAAAACAAAAGGTTTCTGGGTTTGTAATCTATATGAAATGAACATGAGGTAGAGTCAAATGCACATCACATGACCGCAACTACTCAAACACACACAAACTTGTAAACAAAGAGTAACTTTCATTTCTGGAGGAGATTCCCTATCGAGATCAAGTTATGGATTATTTCACAAGACCAGCGCAATCTGACGAAGCATTATCCAGAGGATGATAATGTGTAGAACGGCCATAAATGAGGTTGATGTCATGGTCTTTTTTCTTTCGTGTGCGCATGCGCATTAGCTTGGGCACCCTGAAAAAATGCTGATTTTGTTTGATTTGGACATCTGAAACTAAACGTATGAGAGCTGTTAATGTTATTGGTGGTTCTAAATATGTAATACTGTAAACAGAGGTTTGCAGCATTTGCCCTGCCTATGAGTTCTTCCAATAGGTCGACTAATTTGTAAATGACATTAATGTGCAGCACTACATGAAAAATTGAAATGTCTTCATCGTGAAACAGCATCATAAAAATGAGGCGCTTAAGTAGGAGACACTAAAAAAGATGCAAGTGCTGTCAGTCAAGCATGTCTGTCAACCGCATTCACATACAAAGACCAATATAAGATTCTGTCTCATCTCATGTGCACATTAGCCAGTCCCTCTTTATACACACACACACACTGATGTAAAGGGATATTTTTATAAGAGATTCCAATTTTAAAGCTTACTGAATCTAAAATTTAGTATACAATTATTGTTTTTCTGTTGATTTAGGAGAGGTTTGGGCTCAACCTTTGTGTTAAGTTAAAACCAGGTTTAATACACTGACTCAAATAAAACACTTCACCCTGTTCTAAATCAAGAGAAAAAAAATCAAATAGGAATATGTTGCTTTTTTCCTGTTGTATCAAACCATGACCCCTAAACCCTATGTATAGACCCGTCTGTGTACTGTTACACCATTAGAAATAAAAGGGAAGTTACTGAAACAGCACAGGAGCCGGTAAAAATGCTCATTTTAGAAGAAAATTTCAGACTGCGGATCTGAAGTCTTCATTTGTAGGAGTTTCATTTTTAACACAAAGTTTATTGGATGAGAGTATAAAAATGATCATACATTGTGAGTTACTAAGGTTTCCTGTAGTCTCTAACTTACTGGCAGTTGTGCTAAAAGTTGAATACGTTATCATTAGTACAGTACTTTATCATCATAAGCTCTGCTTGTGTGAAACCTGAATAATGTTGCTTTATTTTTTGCATTGAACATTATAAAAATGAGCAGCTGTGCTTTAATTACCACATTGACAGTAATCGCAAACCTCAACTTTCACATCTGAACTATCATGGCACTGTGCTCTAGAATTAATTTGATTAACTAATTAGATGAACTTTGTCTAGTAAAGCTGCATCCTAAATATAATAGTTAATGAAAATCCTAACCTTGATTGTATGACTTGCACAATTGAGTACACAAGCAGGCAAGTGTACTACTTTGGAAAATCATGAGAAACAATCCCTAGAAATCTCCAACAAGTACTGAAGAGTTCACAAAAAATATTCATCCACTTCTTCCTCTGTTAAATATATGAAACATAATATATATAATATATATACTATAATATATATAATATGTAATATATACATAATATATATACTATACCTGATGAAAGGACTCTATATATTTTCATAAACATGCTGTTTGATTTTTAGTACATGTTATCTTTTCATCATCAATTCATAACTTTTTGATTAAATGGCAAATTTGTATGAATTTGTGCAATCTCATTCATACATTTTAGAAGGGTTTATCATTCCCTCAATAATGCTTGGGTTTGGGGGAAGTTTCAGGAGTCTCCCGCAAATGCACAGAGACTCCTGGATGCCCGCAAACGAGTGATAATCTCCCGGAAATTGCGCGTGTCTCCCTCCAGGTCCTCAAGTATGTTGCGCACCCTTCTCAACCCCTCCCCAGTCCCCACCGCATCCCTCCTCGCTCTTCAGACACGTCGCGCGCACCTTGTCAAACACCACCAAACCACCACCTCCCCTGACAACTGAGCGGGACTCTGCAAAATTAACCGTGGAACTCTGACCAATGTGAGGAGAGTTTACTCGCACGTGACTTATTTTAGCTCTTTTGGTCTGTTTAGAAATTTTGCCTTGTGAAAGCGAACCGCACCAAGAGCAACAATGTAACAATTGTAATCTCTGTTTCAGAACAACTGAATCAATTCACATGTGTGAAAGAACCCTGAGGGGGTACTGTCTGTGAAATAGTTTGGCAGAGCGATTGGACCCCCCCGATTCAACCTACATGTAGGAGTGAAGAGGGTTATAGGATTGTGAATGGGAAGCGAGGAAATGGAGGGAAGGAGGGTGGGTTCAAAGAACGAGAAGAACAGTGGATGGAACAGAGGGATGGTCTTCCTTAAAAAAGTTTAAAGGAGTAGGTGATTGGTTAAGGAGACAAAGTGAGGCGTGGTTCCCCGCTGAACCTTTATTAACAAATTAACCCCATTTAAATGGACATTCCTTTTGTGGTTTGAAAAAGAAAGGAGGGTGGTATTAAAACAACACCAGGCTCAGTAAATGACAACTTACTTAATTGTTGTCTAAAATATTCTTTTAGTTCATCTCATTTAAGAAATGTACTGGAGCATCAGGGTTGCAGGCAACAAGCATTTTGTGATAGTGTGAGCGGCAGAGAGGACATGTAGGTTTCACCTCCTGGCAGAAAAGCTCAAAGGCCTGCAGACATACTTCATGGAAGAGATGCGAACAAGACAATAAGAGGATGTTTCGGTTTTCCTTAGACGAGCCCTTGTGTGAGGTCAAATGGTTCAGGCAGATTGGACAGTCCTGGACACCTCGCTGGACAGCCTGAGAGGAAACAACAATATTTAAATTTAGTCATTTTAGTACCATGAGTTAGCTTAGTAAACATATGGAAAATCAGCATGTAACAAGTACAGGGAAGCAAACAGTAATGCCGCCTGCCAGTACCCTCAATCAATGATTTACGTGAGTGAGGATCATAATAATGCTTAATATGCATATCTGCCTGTCTGGTTGCTTTCATTGAGGTGCTAAAACGTCATATATATCTTACAGTGCCCGTTTGCAAATTTTACCCAATGCTATTAAGATCAATCATTAATTGTGCACTGCTCATAAAATGCTCAGTCAGGCAGATGCGCAGTTCTTGACTTTAAGAGATTATAAGCGTTCAGAAAGCACTGTGATTTATGGCGGTGACACTGACACTGACACCAGCAATTACTACTTGCAGCTCAAGCAGACGCCGTTCACATACAAAAAGGACCAAAACCACTGCTGTGCATCATGTGTTTTACATTTAAGAACTTTAGATACAGAAGTACATCACAACAAATAATAACCTGGATAAAGATGGTGGAAAAATAATCATAAATAAAAAATAATATGAAAAAAACTTTTGATAAAATGGTAAATGTTACAGGTTGCCAGCACCAGGTGTAACAGGCAAGCCTTTGATATAGTCAAGAAAGGGATTCCAAGTCTTCTAAAAGGAATCTAGTGAGTCAGAGAGTAAGCATCTTAGCTTTTCAATTCTGATACAGTAAAAAATGTCCTTTTGTCATTTGTAGTGGTGGCGGGGGTGGGTGGGGTGTTTACACTTTAGAAGTAAGCACATCTGACTAAAATTGTGGTAAAAGCAAAAACCTTGCTGTCACAGACTGTCAAATCAGGTCCAAGGGATACTCCAAAGGCTAGCAAAGTATTAAAAACACATGACCAAAAGGTGATCGTGTGTTTTATTTATTTATTTCATTTCTGCTGATGGAACATTCAAAATGACAGTCACATTTGAGATTAATCTACCAGTAACACTTTAATTTAAGTCTTAATTCATGCTTTTAACTACTGCCTTATAACCAAGGCCAGACAGAATGCAGACATTTTTGGCTATTTCTGTGGAGAATTTTGGTAAAAACCTGTGGATTTCTGTGGAATTATTTTGGGAGTATCATAACTAAAACCTTAATATGTGAAATAAAAAGTAATATCTTTTTCACTTTTATTTAATGTTTTAAATGCAAATCCAGTTAGATTCACTTTATTTGTTAAACAAAGCAAGTCTCTCATAGAATATCTCTACTAAAAGACAGAAAATATTACTGTACAAACTGCATTATACATAAATCAGATGAACATTTTCATTTTAGTCAATAATATTACTGTAATTAATTTAAAAACTGAATAAATATAGATTTACACACTTTTACTCAAGTAAATAAACAGAATTAATGATGTGCTAATAATCTGCAGAAATCTGCGGAATTCTGAGGGCCTACTTATTACCTGCCTAAAATGAAGATATCAACTGTTCATTGGAAGTTATAAACTATTATCTAAATCTAATCCCTAAACCTAAACCCAACTTCTAACTTATTAAGTATTAATAAACAGCCAATTAGTAGTTTACTAAGCTAGCAGGGTTAGTTAAAGGTGCAGTAGGTGATCTGCCAAAATGCTATTTGTTAGCATAATATCTTTGAAAACACAATCCCTTTCCTGCCGTCCAAAGCCATGGCTTCTGATATCACGAACGAGCACATTAGAGATGACACTAGACAACCCACTAGATCATGTCATTCACCAGTCAGAAAACTTTAGTACTTAATAATCCTACAATTCCCAATGAAAACTGTATTATATCTAGCACATTTTCAGTGTAGCAAGCAAAACTTGTCATAATGTGCAATATTTCATGCATGCAAGGATCGCTGCTTTTACTCTCTCACACACTTTGTCCTTAAGCGACTGCTGTGTGTTTAGTACTGTGCTGAATGCTAGATACTCCCAATTTAATTAGAACAAATACTGTATGTGTACAATTGGGCAATATGTAAAAAAATTACAAATATTTATCAAAATAAGTCTCTTAGACTTACTATTAAAACTTCGTAAACATTCTGTAAATTGCAATATTTGTGAAATATTATTTCACAATATAAATAATTTCAGGTGTAAAAAGGAATTTATATTATTACAATGTCATTTTTTTACCTATTTCTCTGATTTAAAGCCAAAATTTTCACTACATTACTCAAGTCTTTAGTGTCACATTTTTTTCAAAAAACATTTTAATTTTGCTGATTTGAGGCTTAGTTATTAGCAGTTAATAAGAGGTTAAGATTAAACCTAATGATTTAAATGTTTTGCTGTCAACTCTTTTAAAAAATGAATGTATTTTACAGTCACTCCATGATCTTTGCTATTTACATATATTTTCCAACTATTAAAATTAAAAATTCATTTGTTTAATTTTATTAGCAATCATTTTATATATCTTCATATATATACATATATCCACTTCAGATTTAAATATGGGGATATATAGAGACGAGAGTTTAAAAAAATTAGATGAATTATTAGAGAAAAATACATATACTGTGCTCAGCATAAATAAGTACAACCCCCTTTAAAAATGAATATTTGATCTATTTCTCACTCAATATAGACAAAAAAATACAGTGCATTTAAACAATTTAACAGTTATATTCATTAAAACAAGACATTGTTCACCTTATCAAGTATCTTTAGGTATCGACATATTACATTTTATTCAAACGAAATATTGCTAAAATAAAAATTTAGATCAAAATAGAAAATATCAACTATATATATATATATATATATATATATATATATATATATATATATATATATATATATATATATATATATATATATATATATATATATATATATATATATATATATATATATATATATATATATATATATATATATATTTTTTTTTTTTTTTTTTTTTTTTTTTTTTTTGATGATGATGATGAAACAGAGATTTAATAGCTCAATTGGTAAGGGAATAAAAATTATAATTATAAATGATCATATAGGTGAATATTAAATAAACTTGATTAAATAAAATGATTAGAAAAAAATGTATCTATCATATTGGGTAAGTGGGATAATTTTCACGATAAATTCATTAGTAGCATAAATGCCAACTGGTCACATTTAAGACAAAGTAAACTACTTAATTTGTTTATATGCATCCTAATATGTTTCTGTTAATTCTCTGAATGAAAGTAATGGGATTTCCCAGATTAGTGGGCAACAGGACGTTTTTCAACTCATTACTTGATCGAGTCACATCAGGTTTTATCCATTTTAACATCATTGATTCTGTGATCGATCCCATGGTCTATTAAGAAATACCACGAATGTGCACTTATCCTGGCTATCTACATCAGGCTTGACATAGCGGCTGGATTAGCAAACGTGCAACGGACTAAGCCAGAAGGACCTGATTAAACAAGGTCAAGCTGCGCTTTTTCTTTTATCATGGCCTTTTTATTCCACTTTTGTGCAATACACCTCAGGTCCTCTATTAATAGTGATTCTTATAATCGTTGTATTTGCTGGTCGAAATATTTGTTTTTATTTTTTTTAATTCCTCTCAGTTCTATGTGTCCATGTTGAATATAGAAGTATTTAAAAAGGTGCTTACCCCAAGGTTTTACATGGTAATGTTTGACAGTTTCCAAAAATATACTGAGCAGCACAACTGTTTTCAATTTTCACAATAATAAGATGGTTTTGAGAAAGTCAGCGTATCGAAACATTGGGCTAATGATGTTAAAGTCCTGCTTTTAATAATAGAAATAAATGTAAAATATGTTAAACCAGAAAAAAGTTTTTTTATTCTAATAATATTTCATAATTTTAATGTGTTGAAAAGTTTTGATCAAATTAATTCAGCTTTAGTTTGCAGAAAAAAGCTTATTTTAAAACCATAAACAAATGTAATTATTCCACGGTTAATACCAGTACTGAACATACACACACTCACACATAGCATTAAGCAAAATTAAAATGAGATCGATTTTCCTGCCAACGAGCTTCATTTCAGTAACACATTTTAGTTTTAGTTTCAATTACGATAAGCCTGGCTCTGTACGAGTGTTTTCCTGTCTCATTATCAGAAGAAAATGATTAGCGGATTTATGACCTCTGTGAGCAGCTTATATCTCCATTGAAGTTCAGTTGAGTCTAACAGAAGGTAGGTGTGCAGCCATAATCATTAACCGACTGTCAGCTTCCTTTATTCAGCAAAGGCCAATCGCTTCGCACGAGAGAGCGTTTCATAATTGTTCGCCGTGTTTGTCTGGGTGGGAACGGGTTGGTTCTGACTTGAACTCTGCAAACTCTAGGTTTGAGCGTCTCCAGTTATCTGCCCGACCTCTCATCCGCAAGATAAAAAATGAGCGTTTCCTTTTTTTAGTGGATGGCTGCCATTGGCTGCATCAACACAATAACAATGAGGCCCACTGAAATGCCAAATCTTTTCTTCAGCTTGCATGTAATGAAAGGCTAGGCGTGCATTATCTGCACAGCTTGTGTTTTTTAGTAAACACGGTGGATTATTTCCAGTCATTCATTAGCAAGGTAAACAATCATCTGCTGAAGGGTTTGATACTGTTGAATTGGAACATCTGTGCCGCCGGTGCTGCTCTGGGACGGGTGGTGACACGTTGGGCCAAGGGCAGGATCGAGGAGCGACTGCAGAGAGGGATTAGAGGCATTGATGAGCTGCTCTTTTGTAAAAGCGCACTGGTATTTCAGTCTCCGTCTGCGTGTGTAGGTGAAGGAGCAGCAGCATTTTACAGCCTAATGTCAAGGTAATAATTGCAAGTGAAATGTATTTCCATCACGTTGTCTGAACCGCTGATTGGTAATTTAACAACAAAAGAACTGGAAATACACTATCACTGGAAAAAAAAAAACTGATTAGTCACATAATTATTAGAAAAATAATGCACAACTGAGGTGGTCAAAATGAGTTATTTTGTAATAATTTAATAGAGCAGAGTCAGTTATTCTGCTTATACCATACCTAAAGACATTGTTCGGATGTATTCCAATACATTCTCAAATCACTGCTGTGTAGGACTATTTCATCCACAGACTTTAGATTTGATTTGGCTGCTGTCGGCCGTGTAAATTCAATAGAACTGAAATCATTCTGCATAGTGATATATAGCCAGCAGTTTGCTCTCAGCAAATCATATGGTCGCCCACTGAAGCTAAGCAGGCCTGTGCCTGGTCAGTACCTGGATGGGAGACCACATGGGAAAGCTAGGTTGCTACTGGAAGGGGTGTTAGTGAGACAAGCAGGGGGCACTCAACCTGTGGTCAGTTTGGGTCTTAACACCCCAGTATATTGATGAGGACTCTATACTGCTCAGTGAATGCCTGTTTCGCATAAAGCCTAGTTCACACTACAGGATTTTAAACATCAGCAGATCGTTGTGCCGTTCACACTACATGACTTGACTTTGTTTCTTTTAATCTCTGTAGTGTTCACACTACGCAACACTCTGTAAATGATCCACAAAAGGGGGGTCACACACTACATGATCTGACAACAACTCATTCCCCAATAGCTCATTCAAGCTACCAAACCACAGCCAATGAAATTTTGAGGGAGGAGTCGTCAGAAAAAGCTGAACACTATTGGCTGCTTGTGTGCTTATGACATCTCTGACAGCATTTCAAGCTTTGGAGAAAGCATTTAAAAACATCGTCAAATCAGCTGATTTATCAGCGGATTAATCACTCATCTGCAAGGTTCGAGTGGATAGATACACAGAGAGTTTTAAAGTTTTGTAATTTTATAACTCTTTGAAATAAAACTAACATATATATATATACCCTGCCGTTTTCTAACTATCAGTGTATTTCTTTCTGACATTGTTATTTTTTTTATTACAAAACAGTAAAGAACTGAGCATTTCTGCCTTAAATTACCATATTGGTCAAAATGACTGCATGCATGTCTGATACTTTTCGCTGTGACTTTAAGGGCCCTATCATACACCAAGCGCAGTGTGGCGCAAGGCGTGACGCATTAGTCTTTTGGTAGTTTAGCTTGGCGCAAGAGTCGTTTTGAGGCGTTGCGCTACGCTGTTTAAATAGCAAATGCATTAGCGCTCATTTAGCGCCCATAGGCGTTCTGGTCTAAAAAGGAAGGCGTTCTGAGGCGGACCGCTGGCGCGTTGCTATTTTAAGAAACTATAATAGATTTTTCATTAGACCAAAACTAACCCGGTCTAAACTCCGGCATAGAGTTGCGCCTCGCTTACGCACTGCTTAATACGCACAAGAGAGCAATAGGCAAATATCTTTACATATGAAAAAAATGTAAATATTAATATAGATATAGGATATAAATATAAAGGATTAAAATATTACAAAACATATTATTTTCTAGCCTACATAAATATGAAAAATCACTGCTTTTATGTCTTCATCTCGGGAGGCTTTTTCAGTTCATTCATAACAATTTGCTTTTGTATAATGTTAGTATTATTAGCAGTATTATTTATTATATCCATATTTAAATTTGTTTTATTAAAAACAAGCTTAGATTTGCCCACCTGTCAGGTTTTGGACCATATGGGGCAAAGCATGTGTTTTAGGATATAACTCAGTTTTTTGAGCACATTTTGTTATTATTATTTAATTATTTATTTGCTGGAAATTAGAACTGAATTTAGAAATAGTTTTGAAAGGAATATTTGCGCTTAACAAACAAAAGTATTTATTTATAGACTAATTTATAGACTAATTGATGTGCGTAAAGGTTTCCCTATCCAAGAGCGAAAGTGAAAGTGATCCATTATCTCTCATTCTCACGCAGTAGATGCTCTGTTTAACAGTTTTCTGTTAAAAAAAACTGTTAACTGTTTGCTTGTAAAATGCACATTTTTTCCACTTAGACTTACTTTGCGTCCTGTAAATAGTGAATGCGCTCTTGGCGCGACGCAGCTGGCTCTTAAAGGGAATGGGAGATGAGACTGTAATTGGTTTATTCTTAAATCACACCTATAACTCATTAAGAAAATAAACTCAACCCTTTTAGACCATGCGCCGAAGCGCAAGGCAGATTTCCCGTCCTTAAATTAGCAAAAACGCGTCCTGACACACCCTGAAAGCATTTGCGCCCTGTGTTTTGCGCTTTGCGCATGGACCGTCAAAATAGAGCCCTAAATATGTGTGCATTTTCTTGCCTAGCAACTTCCTGCTAACATAAATAAAACTTTCTGATGGCAAAAACATCAATTTACTTCAGATATCTTTCAAAACAGCATATTCTGTGCTGTTAAAAAGCTCCTGTTTAAAAGTGAAAATGAAAGCCAAGACCTTTAAGTGTTTTAGTATCTTAACTACATATTTATAGGCTGTATTACCAAAAAGATTATATTTTTAGGGTAATGGTGTCATTAAATATGATGCCAGACATTCAAAGTTTAATTTTAATATCTCAATAATAGTTTTAAATGTAAATTCAAAAGTTTTATATGAGAACGGTCAGAATAAGCAGTATGGTAATTCTAATAGTTACAGAATTCTAGTTCCACTGTTAATATAGCCTATTCTCATGTCTGTGTTAACACAGAATGAAGCGAGTGCACCAATGCCCATTCTGACCAATCACAGATGTTTCTGCTGAGCTCCTGAACACACAGGCATTCAGCTCATGCTGATATGCTCTCTCATTGGCTGTAGCTCGTCACTACATCTGACCACACGTGGGGTTGAGTCGGCCGACTGCTCTGGAATATTTAGCATGCTAAATGTTGGATTTCCGTCTGCGAGGTGTCGGCGACGCGTCAGCGAGTCTCCTTAATGCGTTGTTTAGTAGTTCACACATAAAGAGCGGCGAGCGCCGAGCACCCACAGATTTCTTCCCGATCACAGCCCGATCTGTCGGCAAGCTCGTTTACTTCCAAATCGGGCTCAAATCAGGCTTAAAATCCTCTAGTGTGAACTAGGCATAAGGCGTTAAACCGAGCTCCTGACTCTCTGTGGTCGTTAGAAACCCGCCTACGAAATAGAGTAGGGGTTTAACTCCAGCATCCTGGCCAAATTTGCCCATCATGGCCTCATAACCATCCCCATATTATAATTGGCTTCATCACTCTGTTTCCTCTCCACCATTCAGCTGGTGTGCGGTTATGGCTGCTGTCACATAATCCAGTGGTCCACTAGTGGTGGATGAGGAGATTCCCCCCCAAAATTATTTTGAAAGCACTTCAAGTGTCCAGAAAAGTGCTATATAAATGTGAGAAATTATTATTATTATGATATGGAACTGTAAACAGTTAAGACCTTACTGGTTTACCAGTAAGACCCTACTTTAGCTGTGCCTTTATCTAGAAAGAATTGAATTTGTCCATCAGCCAATCAGAATCAAGCATTCAACAGCCCTATAGTTTAAGTTGGTTTAATGTTCACAACTTCTTGGCAACCGCAGCTCCATCTAACTGTTTTCACATTAACTTTGTTTTCTGCAAAAAAAATTAATCTCAAGAAATTGTTAAACAAACTTTTTATGACATTTGACTCTTTTATGAGTAATTTTGTTTCTGTATCGAAATGATGGAAAATAGCTCTTGTAGCAAATAGCAAACCTTTTTTTGAGCTTGCAGCCAGTCCTCATCCTCCATTCTTATCCTCGTGTACTTGTTGTTGAAGTGGCGCAGGATATCATGGCTCGTGGCCACCGAGCGGTCGATATCGTTCAGAAACTCTTCCACGTCTGTGCTGCATGACTGCACCAAGCTTTCGTTCATCTCCTGAAACTGATTAAGAAAATAAATGACATGAAAATGAGTTTCGCTCAGACATGACAAGGCAAACTAATGTTCCATCGCAATATAAATCAATTCTGAATCTCGCGCCGACGATGAAAGGCAGCTAACAGCCAGATCAATAGCAGCATGAATGGATGTATGAAGGAAACTTTTTGGACAATGCCAAAAATTGACCTGCATGATTAAGCATGCACAGGTACACACACACACACAAACCTGTGGCGTCTGTTGCACCGAATGACATCAGTGGTTTCTTTATAGCTGTATTTGATCAGTAATTAAACAGACGTTAAGCGTTTCACAGAGTTCAAACGTGGTAGACCTTCCTAAAGAAGGACAAACAATACTTGGCAATGTGAACTCTGCCTCCTCACAAAATAGAGGGCAGGTACAATCAATCTTAATGTCACCAATTTAACTTTCTAATATGTTGACTTAGTGAGGTGCCTGAGGGGGGGAAAGAGTGACTAGTTGATTGAAAACTTATCTTAGACTAAAGTGATAAGCATTCAAAATTTTTTCATTCTTTTGTCGCAGCTGGTGAACTGCTTCCCGGTGTGCCAAAGGTCCAAAGAAACACAAACAAGAACAAAAAATGCAGTCAATTCTTCTATTGAAGTTATGCAAATGTAAAATTAATGACATAACAAAACAAAAAATGGAGTAGCTTTGCAATTGCAAGTCAAACAGTAGTCATTTGGCTATTAGTCGACTGTCTATTTTGGATGGACTTACATACAATTATTACGGTCTTATATACAATTATAGGGTTAAATCACCCAAAATGAACCCATAAGACCTTTGTTTGTCATCAGAACACAAATTAGGATGTTTCGATGAAATCCGAGAGCTCTCTGACCCTCAGTAGATAGCAGTGTTCCTAAAACATTCAAAGCCCATTAAGGTACCAAAACATGATCTAAACAGTCAAACGTGGGTCTAGGCAATTTTATGACGCTACTAAAATACTTCTGTGTGCAAAATAAATAAAAAATAACAACTTTATTCAATCATTTCTTTTCAGTGACAGTTCAGGACATACATTCACGAGAGAACTGTGCACTGTTCTAACGTACACAGTACCACAAATGCTTGATTTTTTTTAATGCAAGGAAGTCATGTGCAGCCATAAGTTATAAGTTAGCAGTGCGACAAGCATTTTCTAATGAGTCCTGAACAGACGTTGATGAGAAGAAACTGTTAAATATGTTGTTATTTTTGTTTTTGTTTGTGCACACAAAAGGACTCTCGTTGCTTAATAAAATCATAGTTGAACCACTGAGGACGCTTAGACTATAACTTTTCAGGACCACTCACATTTCAGCAAAAATATCTTAAGTTGCAAAAACAGTTCAAGGCACTTGAAAACTTGAAAAATTTAAAAAATATTTTTTTTTCCACATTTTTCGAGTGCCTTGAACTGATTTTTGCTGTTTATTCTGATGAATCCCTTACTCAAAGAGCCCCAAAACATTATTTACACTACCACTGTGCACTTTGTGTTTGATTTTGGATTTTTATATCTTTAGTTGTGTTCCAAAGATGAAAACGGTCTTACAGGTTTGTAACAACATTACATAATTATTGACAGAATATGCATTTTTTTAATATCTTTAATTTCTTTTGTTATGTGATTTGTATTTGCGTTTTCTTGTACACAGACTGCAGATGAAAATCAGCTATGCAGCTACTTCTGGGGCAGTTTTTTGACTGTCCCTCCCCTCTGTTAAATACCGAATTAAAGTTAAAAAAAAATATATATATATATTACTCTACAACCAATTCACTAACAAGAGTTAGCTGCCATGTAGTGCACAGATTGTCTAAAGATGACTATTAAAATAAAGTGCAGTCAACAAATGTAGACACTACCACATACAAAGTATATATATATATATATATATATAATTTAATGTTTTTAAAAAATGTCTCTTCAATTCAATAAAATAAAGCAGTAATTTTTTCAATGCTATTATAATTTAGAACAAATGTGATTTATTCTTGCGATTCAAAGCCACGTTATTAGAATCATTGCTCTATCTTTAGTGCCACATGCTTCAGAAATAATTCCTATATGCTAATTTGGTTCTTTATATTACACTGATTTCTAAAGGACGACCATAAAGGATGGAGTCATGATGGTGAAATGCATTTCAGTTAAGTTTCCAAACTGTCTGGTAGACCTTCGTAAAGGGATGTCTGTCATTATTACATCTTTTGCAATGAAAAAGACTTTCTAAAATAGTTTGTTGCTCAAAGACAGCAGTGAGACACCTGGCTCCAGGTGCAAAACACTAGCAACATGTGAGATGTGATCAAATTAAACATCAATATACAGACGTGCTGAATATAGTACCTGCCCGCATCAAGTGCTTAAGAAATGAATAAAGCTAAACCATAATAAAGATCATTTCACTGCCATTCTTCACACTACAATCTTGTAAGACAGCACTTGGAAATTAGCTGTTTAGAAACTACAATTGCAAACAAATAGAAGAATAAACACTCATGATCCTGTATCTGTATGCCTTTAAATAAGGACACTGTGCTCTTCAAAGCAGTTTCAGGATATGGCTTGCATTTCTAGGAGTCTGGAACACTCTCAGCTTCTGAGCTGAAACCAAGAGTTGACTGTATCTGCTTCACTAGATGGCAACCTTTGCTTTCCCTGGGCTAATGTATGGGGACTTGTGTGCACGACAATGAGGGGTCTGCGGGGACAGATGTCTGTGTCAGTGAGCTCCTAACCAACCACTTCTAACCACTTTCACCTGTTATCAGTCTCCTGCATTCTGAAGGGTCAAAGGGTGCATGAACACCACAATGGGAAAATACCTTTTTCCAGCAAACTGTTTGAGCCTTCATTTCTATTCTCACTGATTACGTACAAAGTTCATTGGAAATAAAAGCCTTGTTATTTGGATTCCTTTTAGGGGACTACTCTGTATGACTGCACCTTCATTTTGCGACATAATAAACGACAAATTTGCTTGATGAGCAAAATTTCTTGACAGAAAACATTACTTCAATATTTTTAGATGATACAATCATCTAGTTGGTAACATAACAAATTGTCAATTAATGTTACCTTTTTTTCAAAGAATCTTCTTCTTAAGTGTTGGTCTTTTGGAGGCACATGCTTTCTTATGTTGCTGTACCATTTGCGAACAACGTAGCCCCGCCAGAGAGTCTGTATTCTGAGAGTTCAAAAAAAAGAAGAAAAATATCAGCATCATGACACGTATATAAAAGCAAACACAGTACTCCAATGAACATGCACCCTATACCCTTTGTGCACAAAAGAGTTGCAATTTAATAACATATCGATTGAACCACTGAAACCATGAATCCATTTTGAGGATGTTTTTTGGTATGTTTTTGGTCGGGACCAGTGCTGTCTAGAGTTCTAGGGAGTTCTGAGATTTCACCTAATATATCTTAACTTGTGTTCCGATGATGAACAAAGGTCTCAGATTCAAGCTCACCAGATTCAAGCACTTTCAAAGACTTTTAAAAGAACAATTAAGTTTTTTAATCAAGTCCTTTGTAGTTTACACCCCACATTAAAGACCTTGCTGCACCTAACATTTCACTTAAACTTAATATTTACATGAAACATGTCAAAGTAGAAAAATTTTCTAAAATATTGACCATTTTAAACAGTCATATCCAAAGATCTTTAATACAATTTGTAATATTAATTTTTTCTTTAAAACAAAATATTCAAAATTTGGTTTTTAAAATATTTAAAGGTATTTTCAATAAGTGTGGGAACCCTGTAATTAACAGCATCATTTTCAATTTTGGGTGAATTAACACTTTAATGATTAACTGATTTAATTGATTCAGTCAGAGCGAGTCAGTGTACTGATTCACTGAACTTACAGTTCCAGCAAGTGATGCCATTCAGTTTCTAATAAATGAAGTTACTAGTATAAATTTTAGGATTTATCATTAGACTATTTGTCTTTTATTCATTCGTTTTCCTTTTGGCTTAGTCCCTATTTATTTATTAATCTAGGGTCGCCACAGCAGAATGAACCACCAACTTATCCAGTGTATGTTTTCACACAGCGGATGCCCTTGCCAGCAGAGAAACATCCATACACACTCATTCCATCACTGGGAAACATCCATACAGACTCATTCACACACACTTATACACTATGGACAATTTAGCGTACCCAATTCACATATACCGGCAAAGTGGTGGCACAGTAGGTAGTGCTGTCCCCTCACAACAAGTAGGTCACTGATTCAAGCCTCGGCTGGGTGAGTTGGCGTTTCTGTGTGGAGTTTGCATGTTCTCCCCCTATTTGCATGGGTGTCCTCTAAGAGCTCTGGTTTCCTCCACAGTCCAAAGACATGTGCTATAGGTGAATTGGGTAAGCCAAATTGTATGTAGTGTATATGTGTGAATGAGAGTGTATGGGTGTTTCCCCGTGATGGGTTGCAGCTGGAAGGGCATCTGCTGCATAAATCGTGTGCTGGATAAGTTGGCGGTTCATTCCGCTATGGCGACCCCAGATTAATGAAGGGACTAAGCTGAAAAGAAAATGAATGAATGAATGATTTTCTTTATACTGCAAGTCTGGACTATGGGGGAAACCCACACGAACATGGGGAGAACATGCAAACTCCACACAGAAATGTCAACTGACCCAGCTGAGGCTTGAACCAGCGGCCTTCTTGCTGTGAGGCCATCATGCTACACACTGTGCCACAGTGACGCCTATTATTTGTCATTTGTAATTCTATTTATCATAGCACATTTACGCATTTATTTATTTTTGTTATACATTCTGCTTTATGGCATATTTTACACTAGTTTGCACATTTGAATTATCATTAATATATGTAGTACTTATGCGTTTCAGTAATAAAATGTAATATTTTCTTGTGAGATAAATAAACACCCATTAATAAGCACTTTCTGCTTTTAACAGACTTGTTTCAAATGTTTAACTTGCTTTTAAAAACTTGAGTATAACTGAAGAGAGGTATTTCATACGTTTACTGGAGTAGTATCTTATTAAGGTATCTGTTCTTTTAAGAGCATAATTTGTGTTTATCGTCCACCACTGAAAAGCTGTCATTTTAATAGGAATCAACATGAAGGGGTCATTTGACCAAAAGTAATCTGCATGGTTTAAAGATTATTTCTGTGTGAGCTCTTACATACACAGAATTGAGCACAGATAACACAGCTTTTGCTACAGTTATGCTAATGTGATCGTACTTTAACAGACCAAAGGGATATTTCAGTGAATGTAGAGTGTCTATTCACAATAAATTCTATTTCTTTACCTGAGAGCACACTTTTCCCGATAGAGCCTAGCACCATCATAGATCACCCTTGTCTCGTACTGCTCTTTTCTGCACATTGGGCAACACTTCTTGCCTGAGAACTTCTCAAAAGACTTCAGGCAAACCTGAAATTAGCAACACAAAGGGACTCGATCACCAACTCTGAGTGTGCTATTAAGGGGATAGTTCACCAAAAAATTGTATTCTGTCATCAATTACTCACTCCCCATTTGTTTCAGACCTATTCGAGTTTCTTTTTACTTTTGAACACAACATAGTATATTTAGAAAAATGTTGCAACCTGGTACTTATTGACTACCACAGTAGTTTACATATAGAGGTCAATAGATTTTTCAAAATATCTGCTTTCTGAGTTCAGAAACAGAAACTCATTAAGCTTTTGAAACCACCTGAGGGTGAGTATATGAAGAGAAAATATTGATTTTGGAGTGAACTATCCCTTTAAAAATTCCATGCCAATTCATTACGTTGGAATGATCTGTGGTGACTTACTTTGTGAAATACATGTGAACAGGAGAGTAGAACCTATCCAAAGAAATAAAAAATCATAAAGTGCTGTCCTGATTGAATTAAATGAATAAATCTATTAGGTACATTGTTTTCTCATCAAATAAACACTATTAAACAATGCTTTTAAGTACTGTGAGGATGTAATAGTCTCAGCTTTACAAGTAACTAGTCAAGGTGGTCAATGTACACAGATAGTTAGAGACCAGAAACACCAGCTGAGAATATATGTATACATACTGTCTGTCTGTTCTCTATAGAGATCAACCTAGCTATCACCAACAGCCTGCCTGATAATCTACATGCATTCAGCCTCCATTAAACTGTATTCATGCACAAATGTCTCACATCAGATCCAAACACATGAGCAGGTGAAGCAGCTAACATGTTAACAAATAAATGAGAACACAAAAGCATATTAAATTCAAGAAAAGTGTATTATTTGATGTTTCAAAAACATTTATGAAAATAAAATGTTGAAATATGGGTGAATTAAAGCTCCACTGTCATTCAACGTAGCAGATAATGCAAAAATTAAACAACATACTTATTCTGGCCAGTATGTACAAAATTTTAGATAATTTAAAACAATTTAAAACTTTGAAGGATGTTGTTCTCCTATTATACCTGACAAGATGTTTTAGTAATTAAACTAGTGCTATCAAACAATTGATCATGATTATTTACAGCTGAAATAAAAGTTTGTATTAACATAATAAATGTAATATGCACGCTATGCATATTTATTATTTATATGCACTAATATATTTATGTTATTCGTATACAAGATATTTATGTTTAAAAAACTAATTCTAAATATATATGTACATATTTATGTATTGTATGTTTTTTATTTTTGTATTTACAATAAATATGCTAAATATAATTACACACAAATTATGTTTACAGTATTGATGTTATGATTTATTCTGAATAATCGTTTGATAACACTGATATGAAATATTGTTACACTGAATTATATTTAAGTGGGTGTCTTTCGTAATTTGTGGAACATTTATCCATTCATTTTTTTTTCTCATCTTATTCCCTGTATTATTATGGGGTTGACCGTTACAGAATGAACCGTCAACTTATCCAGCATATGCTTTATGCAGCGGATGCCCTTCCAGCTGCAACCCATCACTGGGAAACATCCATTCACACCCATATATTACAGACAATTCATTCATTCATTCATTCATTTTCTTCTCAGCTTATTTAATTCACCTTTATTAATTTGGGGTCGCCACAGCGGAATGAACTGCCAACTTATCCAGCATATATTCTACGCATATGCAACTGCAACCTATTACTGCTCCCACACTCATTCACACTCATACATTACGGACAATTTAGCCTACCCAATTCTCCTATACCGCAGGTCTTTGGACTGTGAATCCGGAGCACCCAGAGGAAACCCACGCCAACACGGTGAGAACATGCAAACTCCACACAGAAATGCCAACTGACCCACCCGGGGCTCGAACCAGCGACCTTCTTGCTGTGAGGCGATTGTGCTACCCACTCCGCCACCAAGCTGCCCTTGTTGAACACTGTTCCTTCAAAATTCACACAAAATTCCTTCATGTGGTCCCAACCTAAACTGATTAAGTTAACTTAATTGTTTTTACAAATTTAAGTGTATTAAACATAAAGTTGTCCCAAAAAATCCCTTAAGAATTGTGTTGGTTCATCACATATTAAATAAGTAGTTTGAACAAGAAGCAAATGTATTTTTTAAATTAATAAATTAATCATTTATTGCATCATAAACCAATAAATAAAATTAAACAAAATTCACTCTAATGTATGAAACAATCAAAGGGCAAAATATTCTCTATAAAATTAAATTTACAGTAGTAATTAAAAGTGGCAATATTTTTATGAAAATATAAAAACATGTAATATATAGCAGTTACGTAGTGTACAACTGAATAATGGACACAATAAATTAGATATTTTACCCTATTTCAATATTTTTCTTTATTCCTGTCTTTTATTTTGCTATTTTAATAATGTTTAAAAATAATGTAAAAAAAACTCATATTAAACTTGTTACATAGATCTAATTAAAACACATGTAAACACACGCTAAAATCAATATTTACATGTGGCTAAGGCAACTTCATTGTCCCTGCAGCTCTGAACAGCTGGTGTTTTAGTCCAGCATTCTTGAGGAGATTTTAAAAGAATTCTGGTAGCTGGTTGACAATGGCTGGTTTACATGTCATGATTGATGCTGACCTGATGGCTACATGAATCACAATACAGTAAAGTTCAAAGAAAATATTGTAAATTTGTTACGAGATCTTAAAAAGTGGTGTACATGTACATGTGTATTGTAGAAAATGTAGGGTGGGATGTTTGGTCTATTGGGAATTCATTGGACTGTAGCTGTTTGATATCGCTGAGAAGAGAAGAAATTTCACTCATAATAGAGGGCATATCATTTTAATTAACTAGAGCATTTGAATTATTTACCTCCATTTGACATATGCTTTTGTTTAAAAACAACTTACATTGTATTGAAGATAAACATTTTATCTGTCCATGTTTTACTGAGAATCAAACCCACAAACCTGGTATTGCCAGCACATGCTACAGAAAGGCAATGTATTTTGTTAATGATGTGCATTGATAAACGGTGACTAAAAAAGCCTAAATCAATAAAAAAAGTAAATTAAATCATTTATTCAGAACATCACTCATGCACAACATGTAAGTCCGTATTCCTCAAAAGAAAAGCATACAGGTTTAGGTGACATGAGCATGAGGAAAAGATTTTACGATTTGAACTTATAGTTTGATTATCACCAGTGTAAAGAGTGGTCACGCATTTCACTCTGGCTTACAGACTGTCCTCTTGATGTAATTTACTTAATTAACTAAGGTCTACTGATGGACAACACATTCCTTAAAGATTGACTTAAACAAAGGTCTAACAGGAAGATACTGCTGTACATCCATCTGTATTCACTTTCATACTTTGAACTTCACGCACACTCAGCTGTGTTCTACGCAGAAACAAATGCAGAGAAAAAAACTATACAATGTTATGAGCAAGTAAAGTTACCTGTGGTTGCAGACGAAACTCCTCCCTGCATATGGCACAGGGTTGGGTTGAATCTCCCTCCAGGATGGACCTGGTTTTAACCTCTGCCCACTCCTCTGCAGTTAGTCTTGGTGAAGGAGCCTCAACTAGACCCATCCTCTGTGCTGCAGCATCATCATCAAAATCTGAGCATTAGCATTAGCCACAATAATCAGCATACCTAAATTTCCATGATGATCACAGCCTACCAAGAGTCAGACGTGGAGGAGCAGGATCCAGCACATACTCTCTCTCCTCTTTTCCTTGTGCCTGCCTGGAGTTCTGGCTTTTATTTCTCCTGCTAGCATGTGCAGCCCCACCAGCAGCAGGGCAGGAGGCGTCTGACACATGGAGCTTATGGGGATGGTATCCAACAGATATTTTGTGTGTGATGTGTTCCTGAAGTGCTATAGCTGCTAGAGTCAGTCTCCTACTTTCCACTTTACAGCCAAATCCCTGAAGAACATGAAGTGGTACAATTTGAACCATTAAAAAAACTGGTCTAACACTTTATCTGAATGTTTCCATTTGACAATCTTCTAAATGGCAAATGTTTGTCTGACTAAACTGTTTTACAGAAATCGACTGTATAATTCACAGATATTTCATTATGGGAGTGCCTGAGCGACTTCCTCTGCTTGTAAACTCATCAACAAAAACCTGTGATCAGTTCATGAGATTGGCCAGATTGGCGAGTACCAATAGAGTCATGAAATGTGATTATCGGCCAATACCGATCTTTGGTCGCTCGGAGCATCCCTAATTTTCAATGCTCCTTTTTGACAGCTCTGCTCCTCTCTTTACCTGAGTGTCCAAGACATACGGTCAGAGATCAGATGATACAACCACAAAGTCAATCATTGACCTCCACCCTAGGGTGTCCTGATGCCATGTGCACTGATGGACCCCCCCTATGCTTGAACATGGTGTTCGTTTTAGACAAACTATAATTAGTACAGAAGTCCAAACACTGAAGAGCAAATCCATCGATGCGCAGCTCCACAACATCTAAACAAATCAAAACCAGTGCATCATTTCACAGAGGGCCTAATGCTGAGTGTGCACCAACATATAGCGCAACTGCACTGCAGGTGTCCCAATGAGTCCCAACTCGGGGACCTTTCCTGATCCCTTCCCTATCTCTCTCTCCCAATTCACTTCCTGTCTAAAAGGCAAAAGAGCAATTAAATCTTAAAAAACGGTGAATGATGTCACAGGATGCAGCCATAAACAGGGCAGAATGCCAAACTTGATTCATAATCACAGTTTTGAAAATCACAGTTCAATATCACGGTTGTAAATGCTTCCGTTTGTGGCAAATATTAATTTATCTTTGTGAAGGAAGAATTCCAGGGACTATTTTGACTCCTTTTTACAGTTTTTAGCTCTTCTTGAGTTATCAGCTAATAAAAATACCATCACATGTACACACAAACCATTCAGCACAACACATCCTGCTCTTCAGCTGCTTAAGAACGCAGCAGCACAAGTGGTCTTTAATGAACCTAAAAGAGCACATGTCACTCCGCTACTCATCCATTTGCACTGGCTGCCAGTTGCTGCTCCCATCAAATTCAAAGCTTTGATGTTTGCTTACAAAGCGACTTCTGGCTTTGCTCCTTCTTATCTGCTCTCACTTCTGCAGATTTATGTGCCCTCCAGAAACTTGCGTTCTGTGAATGAACATCGCCTCATGGTTCCATCCCAAAAAGGGAAGAAATAACTTTCCCGTACTCTCGCATTCAATCTGCCCAGTTGGTGGAATGAACTCCCTAATTACATCAGAACGGCAGAGTCACTCGCTGTCTTCAAGAAACGACTAAACACTCAACTGTTTAGTCTCCACTTTCCTTTCTAATCTGCAATTGTCTCTCTGGCTCCACCGCTAACTGTACTACAAAAAAATAAATTATTAAAAAAAATATATATATACAGTATACTAATGTTTTGCTTCTTACACTTTACACTCATGAAACTTGCCTATAGCACCTATTCATTGTGGCTCTTATAGTTGTATAAATTGCTTCCTTGTCCTCATTTGTAAGTCGCTTTGGATAAAAGCGTCTGCTAAATGACAATGTAAATGTATGTTCAGTAAGTTCTGTCACAAAATAAGTCATAAAACAGATAGTATGAATGCAAACCAAAACCAATTGTAAAATGTTATATTTTGGTCCAGATCAAACAAACCAAAACCATCAAGCTGCAAGTGTGAACACACCCTTAATTGCTGTTGATTTTTGTTTTAAACTAGCGACTGATCATTTTTAAGTGTTCTTAAATGTGTTAAAGTGACTCACATTTATTATTTTCCTCCTGCCCCTGACAAGTGATCAGTCATATAAAAAGATCCTCCAAAGTTCCAGCCTTTATATCCTAACCCTGTCAACCTGAGTCCACTGAGATAAACAGCACTACTCTTTTTACTTGGTTTAACTATCCAAATATAGACTATTTCAATCCAGTTCAAACAAACTTTAGACTTAAACTGTGTGTTTAAGAGGTGCGCTGAAGCCTGTGATATTGATATGGAGAGTCTGGGAATTTTCTGACAGCTAGTTCCTTTTGATGAGATGATTGCATGTTGTTAAATTGAGAGTCGCATCATATGTCAATGATTTATGTGAATAGTAATTAATGAGAATAATATAACAATATAACATAACATTATGTATATTGGTATGATGATGACAATGATAATAAACAAGATTATATAAGGAGGACTTAATTTGATAGAGCAGAAAAGATTTTTAGTCACAAGCCTCATAAAAGTGTCACAGCTGTAACATTTTAAGTGATAATTATACTGTTTACTTTCCTAAATGTATCTTACACCTACAGTGTATTCGAAAAGTATTCATAGTGCTTCACTTTTTTCACATTTTTTGTTTACAAAATGGATTAAATAAATTTATTTCCTCAAAATTCCACACACAATACCCCATAATGACAAATCAAAACCTGAAAAATAACATGTACATAAGTATTCACAGCCTGTGCTCAATACTTTGTTGATGCACTCCAGAAATGTTCGGTAGGATATAGGTCTGGGCTCTGGCTGGATCACTCAAGGACATTCGCCATGTTGTTGTGAGCCACTCCATTGACCATTTGGCAGTGTGCTTTGGGTCATTTTCCTGCTGAAAGATGAACTATCGCCCAAGTCTGAGGTCAAGAACACTCTGAAGCAGGTTTTCACTCAGGATGCATCTGTAGATTGCTGCATTCATCCTTCCTTCTATCCTGACCAGTCTTCTAGTTCCTGCTGCTGAAAAACATCTCCACAGCATGATGCTGCCACCACCATGCTTCACTGTAGGGATGGTATTAGCCTGGGGGTGAGCAGTGCCTGGTTTTCTACAAATGTAGCCCCTGGCATTTACTCCAAAGAGTTCAATTTTAGTGTCATCAGACCAGAGAATTTTGTTTCTTGGTCTGAGAGTCCTTCAGATGCCTTTTAGCAAATTCCAGGCAGGCAGTGGCTTCCGTCTTGCCACTCTACCATACAGGCCTGATTGGTGGATTTCTGCACAGATGGTTGTACTACTGTAAGGTTCTCCTCTCTCCACAGAAGAATGGTGGAGCTCAGACAGTGACCATCTGGTTATTGATCACCTCTCTGACTAAGGCCCTTCTCCCCCGATCACTCAGCTTAGATGGCCAGCCAGCACTAGGAAGAGTCCTGGTGGTTCCAAACATCTTCCACTTACGGATGATGGAGGCCACTAGGCTCATTGGAACTTACGGAGCAGCAGATATCTTTCTGTAACCTTCCCCAGTCTTGTGCCTTGAGACAATCCTATCTCGGAGGTCTACAGACAATTCCTTTGTCTTCATGCTTGGTTTGTGCTTTGACATGCACTGTCAACCCTGGGACCTTATATAGACAGGTGTATGCCTTTTCAAATCATGTCCAATCAACTGAACTTACCACAGGTGAACTACAATTAAGCTGCTGAAACATCTCAAGAATGATCAGTGGAAACAGAATGTATCTAATCTCTATTTAGAGCTTCACAGCAAAGGCTGTGAATACTTATGTACATGTGATTTTTCAGGTTTTTTATTTTTAATAAATTTGCAACAATTTCAAAAAAAATCTTTTTTCAAATTGTCAATATGGGGTATTGTGTGTCGAATGTTGAGGAAATAAATTAATTTAATCCATTTTGGAATAAGGCTGTAACATAAAAAATGTGGAAAAAGCGAAGCGCTATGGATACTTTCCGAATGCCCCATATAGATATCGACACCTAAAAAGTGCTTGCAGAAGTGGCGTTGATATGGCCACCAATTGTTTGAGACACTGCAAAAAAAAATTTTTTCATTTTTTATAATTTATTTTTTTCTAAATCCAACTTGCAATTTTAAGTGCATTTTATTTATCCTATATCATTTTGTTTCTGCAACGTACAAATACAAATATCTTTATTTTTTAAGACAGTTTTCTGAAATTATTTGTTTTATCATGAACTGACCCATAAACCTCCACTTCAAAATCCGATTTATACAACAAACTTATTTTTTTCACCAGTATGACCTGACTTGAGACTGAGTTTAAGTTTTTTTGCCAGATTCATACGCTAAAAAATATTTACCAAACCGTAGACCATCAACAAGGGAAGTAAAAATATACATATTTTTACAGTCTTTTTTTTGCATGGCAACCCACAACTGTAGCAGGATTAGTAACCATAACAGCTAGCGTTAGCAAGAGCTCGTCGAACTTAGCTGGAAAATAAAACACACGGCGCAAAATAAGCAACAGCGCATTTTGATAACCTTTTAAGTCACCCTCTCAAACTTGTTAACTCAAAAACGCTGAGATGATCTTCAAAAGCGTGAAGAAAAGAAAAGCGGCTCACCAGTGGCATTGCTGTCCACAGAAACACTGTTTACTTGGTCGCTATGCAACGAACCACCATTCAGTGCAGTGTGACGTTCCCACGAGCTCATCTCACTTTCCTGATTGCCAGTCCTACTTGAATGATGAATTCAGCTGTTGGAATACAAAAAAAAAATGACATGTTTTAAATCCTAATTATAATATTTATAATGTTTGCACAAACCTAAATTGTAATTTCTGAATTATGCTCATTTTTATAAGCACTCATAATAATTTTTTTGAAAAAAGAAATCCATCCAACAACAAAAATATCATGTTTAATAACAACAGTCAACATTTCAGTATTTAGTTTTACTAAAGATATATAGGAAAACCTTTAGTTTTATGTAGGAAATTAATATATTTTCCAGTTAATTGTTTTATGTTATTTCCTTACTGAAATCCGAACATTAAAGAAATATTTGCAGGGCAAGTATAGCTTTACACTGTATATAAAATCCTGACCTCAATGTTGCTTCCGGAAATTTGTGTTTTGGTCCTAATTCAATTCAATTCAATTTAATCCAATACAATTCAATTCCATTCAGCTTTATTTGTATAGCGCTTTTACAATGTAGATTGAGTCAAAGCAGCTTCACATAAATGGTCATAGTAAATTGTAACAGTGTAGTTCAGTTTTTTTAGTGTTTAAGTTCAGTTAAGTTTAGCTCAGTTCAATGTGGTTTACCGATCCCAAACCATGCAATCAAGAGGGGACAGCGGGAAAAAAACTTCACCAGTTGGCGAAAGTGAAGAAAAAAAACCTTGAGAGAAACCATACTCAGTTTGGAACGACCATTTTAATTTCTCCGCTGGCCAAACGTCTTGTGCAGAGCTGCAGTCTCAGCGGCGGAGGCTGAAAGCTGGCCTCAGCGAAGACTCGTCTGTCCCTAGAGCGTCGCAGGAATCAGTCTCATGCTTTCCACTCCTCCATGACCACCACACCAGCTGCTCAGGATACGGCCTGGTCCAGGATAGGAAACCTTGGGATTATCTCGTCGCTGGTCTTGGATTGAATCAGTGAATCTGCATAGTCTGAGGGCCTCGGGAAGAGTATCCCCAGGTGGAAATGAAAAATAAAGAGAATAATTAGCGTAGCTGCTGTTCAATTAATTGATTGACTGATTCATTGACTGATTGTTTGATTGATTGATTGATTCATTCATTGATTTATTGATTCATACATTCATTTATTCATTGATAATTTTTTCAGTCTGTCATTTATTTATAGGGCCAGATGTGACCTAATGGTTGATGAGTTGCACTTGATGAGTAGATGAGATGACTTGATGAGTAGATGAGTATTGCACTTGCAATACAAAGACTGCTTGTTGGATTCCTGGTCCCAGCAATAATTGAAGATGGAAGGACTGAATGAACCAGCTTCAATACTCAGGTGAGCTGTATGTGTGTGCTCACTCCATGTGCTCACTCCATGTGTGTGCACTTGGATGGGTTAAATGTAGTTTTTAAATATTTTTACACAACTTTGAGTATACGTATACTTTATTTCTTTATTCATATATCAAGAAGATATGTCATTTGTAGCTAAAATGCGTTCATTTTATATTTACATTTAGTCCCATGTTTTACACAGCGGATGCCCTTCAAGCTGCAACCCAGTACTGGGAAACACTTATTCACTCTCACATTCACACACATACACTACACTACTTATTCAATTCACCTATAGTGCTTGTCTGTGGGGGAAACCGGAGCACCCGGAGGAAACCCACACCAACATGGGAAGAACATTCAAACTCTCACAGAAACGCCAACTGACCCAGCAGGGGCTCGAACCAGCAACCTTTTTACCTTTTTGCTTTGGGGCAACAGTGCTAACCCTTGAGCCACCGTTCCACCCCAAAAAGCCTTTATTAATTGTAAATAAATAAGGCCAATCAAGGTCTGCAACGCATGTGCTGTAGATCTCATTGAGCTGTTATCAGATGCCAAATTCCTCAGAGCTTCTTTGTTCATACCTGAACCATGAGATCAGGTGTGTCAAAAAGGTCATCCTCAGATGTTAAAAAAGCAACTTCAAAGATAAAAGTTTCATCAGTGATTATTACGTAACGGTGAAAGTTGCCATATTTTTAAGTCAAATAAATTGCATGTAAGTATTGTGGTGCATAACAGCTGGTTTAACACCCATCACTGGAACAGCCATCAATACAAAGTGACTTTAAAAAACATTGGCCTAACCTTTTAGTGTGACAGTGGAAAACCATCATCCTTTTCTCTCTATAGACTCATACATTCTTGAGATTAGTGCTAGAAAAGCACAGCCTATATGGCCTTTAATGCTACAGACAAAGGTGCGGAGCAATTTATTTTTCAGGAATTCATCCTCTGAGCATTCAATCAAAACCTGTCTTCCCCAATCTCTATCATTTGTGTTTTTAAGTAAATAATCACTGTTTTCAAACAGAAGGGCAGTCAAGTCTTGCCATAAAAGCTGCTTTCTTCCAACTGTCATCGAAATGGATTTTTGTAGGTGCTTTCATTTTCAACAGGGGCTCTGTTTGTTTTCTTCCTCTTTATAAATACCGGTTTAAAGAGCTTTCTATTTAACTTTCTTCTGTGAATCTTTTTACCTATTCTGTCATTCAGACATTTTTTCAAAGAAGTGACTCACCTTGTGTGAACAAGAGCTGAGGGGTCTGTTGCCATTAGGTTTCGAAAAGGAAAGCTTTCCTGCATTTTGTACGAACTTTGCAAAGTACAGACAGCTTAAAAAGTGAGAATTAATATATTGATTTGTCTCTGCTCAAAGAGAAGCAACAAGTATAATCTGAATAGCAAAATAAGGTACAGATGTTATTAAGGAGAGAGATTGCTGGAGTTGGATAGTCGAATATGTACTTAATAACTGGAAACAATGGAGAAATTCCCATATTTAAAAGCAGGAGTTTAGTTTAAACAAAAGCTTTAATGTGATTTTAAGAGAAACTGATGGCCTTTAGATTGAACACTTGATAGCCTCTTTGTTCTTTGTTGACTCACTAGATAAAAGATGAATCAATGACTTAAAGCAAACCAAACATGTACATGGCTCAGAGACAAAAAAAAACATATATATATATATATATATATATATATATATATATATAGTTGAAGTCAGAATTATTAGCCCCCCTGAATTATTAGCCCCCCTGTTTATTTTTTCCCCAATTTATGTTTAATGGAGAGCAGATTTTTTTCAACACACTTCTAAACATAATAGTTTTAATAACTCATTTCTAATAATTGATTTATTTTATCTTTGCCATGATGACAGTAAATAATATTTTACTAGATATTTTTCAAGACATTTCTATACAGCTTAAAGGGACATTTAAAGACTTAATTTAATTAGGTTAACTAGGCAGGTTAGGGTAATTAGGCAAGTTATTGTATAACGATGGTTTTTTCTGTAGATTATCGATAAAAAATATAGCTTAAAGGGGCTAATAATATTGTCCCTAAAATAGAGTTTAAAAAATAAAAAATGCTTTTATTCTAGCCGAAAAAAAACAAATAAGACTTTCTCCAGAAGAAAAAATGTTATCAGACATACTGTGAAAATTTCCTTGCTCTGTTAAACATAATTTGAAAAATATTTAAAAAGGAAGAAAAAAATACAAAGGGGGCTAATAACTCTGACTTCAACTGTACATATATATATGTATATGCATGTTTTTAATTATTTTAGATATAATAGAATCACTTGGATGATCACTTATTCTGTTATATATTTTGTAAGTCAGAATCATGTTGTTTAACATTTGATTTCCCAAAAGTACAAATTTACAAAGCTTTTAAGAAAACAATTTTGTGTTTAATAGACGTCTAATAGACATCTAAGCGTAGACAGCTTGGCTAACACAAGGCTAAACTTGGGTTGTCAATGAAAATCTAATAGACATCTAATATCCCAAAACTAGACTAGTGGTCAAATAGACAGATTAAACAGACTTTATATGTGTAGTCATTGATTTCTGTTTATTTGATGACTAGTTTAGTTTTGGCCTATTCTTAGACGTCTATTAGATTTTTATCTAATTCTAACAAAGTGTTACTAAAATACTATTTGATGTAACTAGTAATGCTAAGCTAGAGATGGAGCTACTGCGATGCATCAAAACTGCAATATAATGCCACGTATTCATGATATGACTGTTCTCCATGTATACGTGTACATTTTTATTCCACTGCTGATTAAGTAAACCTGCAAAAAAAAGTCTTTATCTATAAAAAACGCAGGGCAAAATAATTTAAACATGCCCACTGAAAATGAAATACAAATCACTGTGTGCTTTTGCGTCTTTTTATTTCATTTGCTAAGTGCTACATTACCTCATGCTTTGGACCTCACAAAGGATTTCCAATAAATCTCCTGGCGGCTGCGAGTAATCGATCAGGCGGTTTGATTAACCTGTCTGAAGGGTCCTCCCACAGTACTACAGGTCTTGGCTGGCTCTGTGGATGGCTTGTTGGAAATGTTCATTGTCAGTTAGCCTGGCCGAGCTCAGACTGCAGCGGATAAATTCTGGGACCGGCCTGTGCTCGAGAATCATCACTGCGTTCCCGTTGCGCACAAACTACAGTGACATAAATTTGCTCACCGTGACTTACAAATCAATAGTGCAGCAAGTGATGCTTTTACTATTTGTCTCTTTGGTCACGTGCTGCTCCCTGGCCAGAAACGTACCTCATCCACTTTATACGACATATAATAATAAGCCTGGATGCTTTGCGCTCGCTCTCGTAGTCTTGTTCTGTGTGCCAAGTGGATTTCACTTGAATGTCGCAGTGGTGCCCAGCAATCTGCAACACACTTGCGAAGCCATCTCGTCCCCATAATGGCCAATAATTGAGCAGAATCCATCACAGGGGCTGAAAATAGACTGCCATAATGGCCATAAATTGTAGCCCAGGAGAGATTAACACATGGAGCTGTGCCGACCCTGCTGTGCCTGAGAGTCTCCTGTACCTCCAGAGACGAGTCTGTCTCGTTCTCTTCTTTGTCACCTGCTGATTT